TCAATTTAAGCGTTGAAAGGGTTGGGTGGATAATGGGAATTATAGGGTAGGGATGAGATATAGGGGTAGGAGTGAGATATAGGGTAGGGATGAGATATAGGGGTAGGAGTGAGATATAGGGTAGGGATGAGTTATATGGTAAGGATTAGATATAGGATAGGGATGAGATATAGGGTAGGGATGAGATATAGGGTAGGGATTAGATATAGGGGTAGGAGTGAGATATAGGGTAGGGATTAGATATAGAGTAGAGATGAGATATATGGGTAGGAGTGAGATATAGGGTAGGGATGAGTTATACGGTAAGGATTAGATATAGGGTAGGGATGAGATATAGGGTAGGGATTAGATATAGGGGTAGGAGTGAGATATAGGGTAGGGATTAGATATAGAGTAGAGATGAGATATAGGGGTAGGAGTGAGATATAGGGTAGGGATGAGTTATATGGTAAGGATTAGATATAGGGTAGGGATGAGATATAGGGTAGGGATGAGATATAGGGTAGGGATGAGATATAGGGTAGGGATTAGATATAGGGGTAGGAGTGAGATATAGGGTAGGGATTAGATATAGAGTAGAGATGAGATATAGGGTAGGGATGAGATATAGGGGTAGGGATGAGATATAGGGGTAGGAGTGAGATATAGGGGTGGGTGAGTAATACATACAGGACAACCCAGAGAACCGTTACTAAATGGATATCTAAAGCCAAAAATCAAACGATTATATTTGTTAAACCAATTATTGGCTGCCGGCATAATCATTGTATAACTTAATTGTAATCTATTGCTGGATGTACGGTTAGCACCGATATAACCGTAACCGGCATACAATCCTAGTTCATAGTCGGTATTGATTGTCTGATTTCGTGGCAAACATATACCATTGAGTGCCCGGTATGTTGTTGTGGTTGTTTGATCCAATCCTTGGTCGATAAACGGTAAATTTGATTGCAATTTAATGAGTCCTAAATCCACTGATGGATTAACCGTTTTATTTTCTTGTTCATAGATTGGATGTATAAAACGTTTATCCACTCTATAGCCATCACCGTTGTCTATATCGTGGTCTAGTAGTCCCGTATAGACTAACAGATCATTGATAGGAAAACTGTAATAATTTTATATCAATAGTTATATTTTTTTTAGTTAATAATAGTTATTTTGTAAATAATATAAAATAAATTATTATACTTTATCGCATGTGCGACTGTCAATATCCAACGTTTATTAATTATAATACCAGTGCCGCGTTGACCACTTTTTTTTATAAAAAATTATAAATATATATTTTTAAAAATTATAAAAATATTAATTTATAGCTAAATACAAACTCATTTCCGATTTTAATTTTAACAGCAAACGGCACTTCACCCGGTTGTGCGTTACGACCCAAATGTATATCCATTGTTGTTGTTGTTGTTGTATTGGATAACCATTTAAAGCACTTTCCACTGGATATCAGTGACTGCCGTCCGATACCACATCCCTTGAGCGTTACATTGGGATAGTGTTTGATGGATGAGTGAAACAGATATACAAGCGATAGACAATTGAAACCTACTATTAAATTATTATTTAATTTTTATTAAATTATTATTTAATTTTTATTAAATTATAAAAATTTAAATTAACTATTTTTTATTTTTGAATTTTTAAAAAATAAAATTTTTAGCTTATTTATATGTATGATAATAATTTATCTACTTACTTATTAATATTAGTTTAAAGTACATAATTAAATCGCAATTAATATTTGTTTGTTTGAATTACATTTATAATTAATATATAAATAATACAATATTTTCTATAGAATATTATACATAAATTAATTAAAATATCTAATTTTATTTTATATATTTAATATTATATTTTTTTAATATTTTAACAATATCTATACTACAATTACATTTATTTGATTGAAATTTTATACTATGATATTTAATATCCAATTTTTTAGAAACTAAAATTTTTAAAATACAATATAATAATAAAATACAATTTGTTTTAAATTTTATATTAATATAAATCATATAATTTATTTAATAATTCTTTTTCAATAAAAATACATTTAAATAAAATAAAAATTTTAATTATATCATAATTAGCTAATTAAATGTTTATTGTTTTTGTTGTTAATATTAATATAATTACTATTAAATTATATAAACATATTTATAAAAATCAATTAGTGATTAAATACTAAACAATAATTGTGTAAAATATTTATTTAATATTAAAAATAATTGTTATAATTATTTTTGTATAATTGCAATAATTAATAGCTAATAAAATATATTGTTAATAATACCTATATATTATGCAACAATACATACTTTTAATTTTATTATACTTTTATAATTATTTTTTTTAAATAAAGATAAATGATTTATACATTTAACATGTTTTTATTATAACTTTATAAATATATTAAAATTTTTTTACTATTTACCGCCATTAATAATTAGATAATTAGAAAAAATATAGAAATTTAAATAAGATTTTTTATTTTTAAATTTTCATATTTTCAAAACCATATGTTCAATAATGAATAGAAGTGCCAAATAAAAAATTAACAAAAAAAATTGTACTTTCAATAAATTAAAGATTTTTTTAATTTTTTTTTAATTTAAAAATATTAAAAAAGTATTTTAATACATAATTTTATAAATTTAAAACATAAATTAGCTTAGCCACATAATACAGCTTATAATTTAAATCAGGCGTTATCAAATGATTACATAAACAAAATCAATTTAATAATGTAATTTATTATATATTATATATATTTTTTTTAAAAAATAATAATATTATAAATTATTATATAATGTCAATGTTTTGAACTGTCCTTGACACTTTTAAAAAAATCAAGATTAAAACCCTTTGGCAACCCTTTAACAAAAAATTATAATAATATTAACCTAAAATAATAATTATAAAAATTATTATAATCTAAAAATAACAAATATAAAACATATGTATTATACTATTTACTAATTAAATTCAAAAATTTTCTATTTTTATACTGTAACAAAAAGCTATAGTATAGTTAAAGTTAATTTATTTGTTATTTTATTTTTCTTAAATAAAAAACCATATAATAAATAATCATAAGATTTATGATTGATTTTTTTTTCAAATTAAAATAAAATTATGATGATGATGATGGTGGTAGTGATGGTAAGTGATTAAAAAAAAATAATCTAATTTTAAAAAAATATACTAAAATATACTAAAATTGTGATTTTATTTTCTCACATTATTTTATTTTACCATTAGTTTGTTTGTCATTTATTTTTTTAAAAAAATTATTTCTATGTCTGTCTCTCTTATGATATTAAATGTTCACTTGTAATATTCCCAGTTTACTAGGAATTTCCAGGGAATTTCCTAGTTTCTTGTACTGCCATCTATGAAAGCCCACCCATATTTTTGTTGATTTAAAATTTATTTATTATTTTTTTTTTAAATATTTCAATTTAATTTTTTTTTTCAAAATAATTAAGTTTTAGTATTATTTATTTTTTTTTAAATTATATAAATTATATTTTCACTTTCTAATAAAATAGTAATAGAAACTAAAGTATTTTCCATATTTTCCTGGAAAATTGATGGGACCTTGATTAGGGAATTTCCCTTCCTTTTTTTTGAATCATAATAAACCCCTAAACGTATCTAATAAATAAATATATTATAATTGGCTATATAAAATAAATTTCAATTGTTTTTATTATTTTATTATTATTACAAACAGATGATACATCTAAGCATGGTAAGTAATTTATTATTATAATTAATATAAATTCAATTTATTTATCTTTATATGTCTGTCTGTATACATGTCTGTCTGTATATATCTGTCTGTCTGTATATACCTGTCTGTCTGTATATATATGTCTGTCTGTATATATCTGTCTGTCTGTATATATCTGTCTGTATGTATATATCTGTCTGTATGTATATATCTGTCTGTCTGTATATATCTGTCTGTCTGTATATATCTGTCTGTCTGTATATATCTGTCTGTCTGTTTATATTAATATCTGTCTTATATATTATATATAAGACAGATATTAATATAAACAGACAGACAGATATATACAGACAGACAGATATATACAGACAGACAGATATATACAGACAGACAGATATATACAGACAGACAGATATATACAGACAGACAGATATATACAGACAGACAGATATATACAGACAGACAGATATATACATATAATATAATATATATATAGAGACCGAGACAACCACTTTACATGCTTTGAGACATAAGCCGACTGAGTGGCCAAAAACAGACTACTTTACGACTCCGTTCACTGGTTTAGAGAATCCAGTCTATAAACAACCGGCTTTTAATCCGGCTTTAGGTTAGGATTATATATATATATATCGAGACGACAACAATACAAGAATAAAAATATATTAGATTTATATTAATGTTATTTTTTTCTCAAATAAATTTATATTTTGTTTTAAAATTGTATGAAATAAATATTTTACAATAATTTTTTTAGTTGTTATTGTCGTAGTGAATATACAATATTTCTATAGACACTAGGGTTGGAAAAATACAATTTGACTTTGTATATTTATCTCAGCCAACCCTAGTATATATATATATATTTATAAATAACATTTATTTCACAAATTTTATATATAACATAATATTGTGACCAGATTTGCAAGTTGTAGCAATACAATTGACGTTAAAGGAAATCATACACACATGTATAGACACATATATACACACATACATACACACACATACACATACACATACACATACACACATATACAGATACACAAAATGCAAAAATCATTTTATAGGCTTAATAATGTTGGCTAATAAAAATAGATATATATTAAATAATTAATTAAATACATATTTTATAATTATAATTTTATTTATTTATATATATTGTATTATAATTTTCAATAGACATTTTGACAGAGATATTGCATAAAACTATACAAAACAAACAAATTAATTAATTAATTCAATAGTTTATAAATTAATAATATTCTGTAATTTTTTTTAAAAAATGTTTTGTGATATAAACGGTTGTCCTAATTATTAATTGCCATCAACAACGAGAAACGGTAGGTCACGTTGAAAGCATCGACCAAACAGACTCATACCGAGCAATGGTTGCCGAAAATCGGTAACCGATAGACTGACTTTGGTTCCCACTTTACGCTGGCTATCGTATGTCCAGTACTTGTTCGGTACAATCGACAAATCGTTGGCCATTGCAGACGGATAGGTATAGTTAGTTGTAAACCGGTCGGCAGTCAATTTGATTGACTTGAATACTGTTTGAGCTGATCCAGTGGCATATGTGGCACAGGTATTATCCGTACACTTTATAAGTGCACAAACTTCCTGACACATACCTACTATACTAAATGTTGTTGGCTGAGCACTGGCCGACCAATTGGCCACCAAAAACCAATAGGATTCGTTGGCCAGGGATGGCTGGGCTGCCATCACCGATGATGTTGAATATGTCAATTGACAGCACAGGCCATTGTTGCACAGGTTTAGCGTATCGTTGGCGGCCGTCAACTGTGCCAATGATGTGCCAGCTATTGATTTCGGGTGCAGTGACTTATAGTTGCCGACAACTTTTGTCTGGCCAATGATTATTGTTTTGTTGTAGCGATTGTTTGGTAATAAACACGACGACCGGGTGTTGTCACTGTCGACTGGTATGTCGGCAATCAGTAATTTTGATTGTCTATCGGTTAGATCGGTAGATATTAGTGAACCGCTAATACCGGCATATATACCACTACCGGTTGAACCTATTTTTTTGTTGTTGAAAAAAATTATAAATATATATACTGTATATAACATTATCAATACATTACCAGTTTCCGGGACAAGTATAGTGGCAGCCAATAGGTTGGCCCTATTGTTCACCGACCAGCCCTGTTGGATATGTTTGGCCGTACGGACGGGCAACTCATCGAACCAATAGGTCGGAAATGCCATTGTTTTGACACCATAACGGGCCACCAGACCGGTTCCCGGATCACCAAAATTGGCATCAAAACAGATGAACAGTCCTATCCGACCGAACGGTGTATCAAAATAGCTAAACTCGGTAACTACCGGTGTATTGTATTCGTGTTCGCCGCCCGACCACAGATGCCGCTTATGATATTTGGCTACCAGTGCTCCCCGTGGATCAAAAGCAACGGCCGTATTGTACAAATAGTAGCCATCAGTTGGACAATGTTTATCCGTACCGATTGTACAGTCCTGTCGATCGCCATAATCGGCAACAATATACATACCGTTATCTCTGGCCAGACAGCTCAGGGCTACGGTTATCGGTAGCAGTGGATCGGGTTTTTCGCACAAATTATGGACACCTTTCAGCGGATCGGGTATACGTTCGGCAAATGTTGATACAATTGGGCGCGTATAGGACGGATCAATGATGCCGTCCTCGGGAAACACCAGTATATTTGAGCCCTAATTATAAATATATATATATTTTTAAAAAAATTTAATTTTAATATAAATTTATTATTATCTAAATATTTATTTATTGTTTCGGTAATTGTCTCTTACATATTGTTTGGCTTTATTGGCCACCTGTTTGTAGACCAATAGATTTTTTTGGATAATATCGTTAGGTTTGTCTACCGATTTGTTTCCCAGATACTGGTGCTCATAGACGGCCGCCCGAAAACAGTCCGAACCCTTGATTTGTTCTACATTTATCACATAATTAATATTTATTAGTATTATTATTATTATTATATTTAATAGATTAATATTAAACATAATTTTCTCAATTATTATTATTATTGTTTTTATTATTATAATAGATTTATAATATATAATTAAAATGTAATAAAAAAACTAAATTAAAACTAAATAAGTTTAAAAATAAATAGCAGTAAAAAAATAATTGTTTTTTAATTGAAAGTTATATTTTTTTAGATATTATTAGATATATGTAAAATTAAAATGCATTAAAAATACTATAATATATATGATAGTTATATATACTGTAATATATTGATTATATAAATGTCAATTTATAAAATAATTAGATAATTTGTTATCATTTTTATTTATTTAATTAATCAATTATAATTGCATTTATCATATTTAATGTGTGTGTGTGCTAGTTAATTTTAATTACAATAAATATATGTAATAATAATAGTTATATACTTAACATTTAATGTACAGTATTATTACCATTTTCTAAATGTCATCAACTTTTACTATATATAATATTATATTATAAAAAATTATTATTTTTGATAATATTTATAAATATAAATCTATATATAAATCATTCTATAGACTTAATAATAGTAATAGTAATAGTAATAGTAATAGTAATAGTAATAGTAATAGTAATAGTAATAGTAATAGTAATAGTAATAGTAATAGTAATAGTAATAGTAATAGTAATAGTAATAGTAATAGTAATAGTAATAGTAATAGTAATAGTAATAGTAATAGTAATTTTTAGAATATTATCAATAGTTATGAAATTAAGTTATTTTTTTCAAATGTTTTTTTTTAATTTTTAAAAGTATCAATTACAGGAAACAATGGCAGTTTTTAAGGCACGTCATATAAAAATATATAAAAATTAATAAGGACATATAATTTATTTAGTGAAAAACTAAAAATTTATATTTGATTATTCTATAAAAAAAATTTATTATATATACTACCAGTAATTAGAAGCTATATATTATTTATTTAGTTTAACAAAATGAAATCAACAATGGTCATTTATTATTATAGTTGTATACTGTTAATATTAATTATTTCCACTGTTCAAAATGGTTAGATAATGATAATAATTACAACAACCAAAAAAAAACTTAAATAAAACCACAAAAAATCTTTAAAAATTTATTAATTATTATTTAAACTATTATTATTTTACTTTAAATTTTTTTGTTGTTAGAACAATATAGTCAAGATTCGGAAGCTGTTGGAGAATCTGATATTCATAATAATCATGGTTCGGATGAAACAGTAACTGATAATACTAATCATGGTTCGGGTGATACTGATAGTCATGTTGATCATGGTTTGATTGATATGGATGACCCTAATTATGGTTCAGGCGATACTGATGGCCACAATCATAATAATCAAGGTTCGGGTGATAGTGATGGCCATAATACTAATCATGATTCGGAAAACCATAGTACAACAACTGAACCTGATGATAATACTGCAATGAAACGTATTGGTAAATTTTTTAAAGGATTAGGTCACGACATAAAAGAGGGTTTACTGCGTCCAATGGATTGTATGATATAATAACGTTTTTTTTAATTATTATTATTATTACTTTTTATAAGTTAAAATTATATATTCACGAACTCCTGAAAGGAGTACGTATATGCATTCTAAAAGTCTGTCTGTCTGTCTGTCTGTCTGTGTGTCTATCTGTGTGTCTGTGTGTCTGTCTGTCTGTCTGTCTGTCTGTCTGTCTGTGTGTCTGTCTGTCTGTGTGTCTGTCTGTGTGTCTATCTGTCTGTCTGTTTGTCTGTCTGTCTGTCTGTCTGTCTGTCTGTGTGTCTGTCTGTCTGTGTGTCTGTGTGTCTGTTTGTCTGTCTGTCTGTGTGTCTGTCTGTCTGTGTGTCTGTCTGTGTGTCTGTATGTTTTATTTTTTTTTTGATTTTTTTCATTTTAAGTTAAGGAGTTCGTATGGAAATGCTTTTAAAGTATTCTCAACTGGTTTTATTTTATTTTTTAAATTAGATATATTTAAATAATTATGAGTATTTTTATGTTAATTATATATATTGTTATATTATAATATATGCCCTGTCGTAGCCAAATGTTTAGTTTCATAAGTAAATGGTTAGATAAGGCTTAGATACCCGTATTACAGATTTTTCCCTACAATATATATATATATTATTTATAAATTATTTAATGCACTTTAAAATTAGTTTTTAAAAAATTTAGTAATATTAGCTGATCTAGATCAACTGATCATTTTTTTATACAAATTTATGCTATTTTACTTTCTTGATAAATTTAAAAACAAAATCAATCAAAAATTTAATTAATAATAATTAATTATTTTTTAAATGTTATATTATATATATATCTTTTTATTTAAATTTTGTATTTTTATTTATTTTTTCTTAAATACTTCAAAATAGATACAAAAAGAGAGTTTATTCAGGAATCTAGAGGTAAAAAATAATAATAATAAAGCATTCATCAAACATATAAACATGGTAACTTATAATTTTATAAATAATTATTTAAAATATACTATTAAATTAATTTTATTATTATTATTATATACTATATAGTACTATAGTATATAATATTATATATTTTTTAATTATATAATAATGTTATGATTATTATTATTATATTTACATGTTAAAATTTAATATAAATGTTTTATTTTATTTAATTAAATAAATATATAAAATTTTATAGTTAATAATTTTTATGTTTACGATAGATATGATATATGTTTTTTACTTGTTTTTAATTTTAAATTTGTAAAAAATAATATTTTAGACATTTACTATAGATAATTTTAAATCAATATTTTTTGAATATAATAAATACATCAAAAAATACAGCATAATTATATATAAAATTTATTTATAATTATGAATTATATATTTTTTGTTTTTTTTTTTGAAACAAAAATGTTTATATAATTTATATTATTCTATATTTAAAATTTTTTAATAAAAAATAAATAATAAAATTCTAATATATATATATATATAATCACTTACATCGCAATGCGCATTCATTTACAGGAATCAAAATTTTAATAAAACTTCATATTATATATAATTAAAAAAAAAAAATAAATAAGCAATTTATTTGGTGATAAAAATAAAAATTTGTATTTTAATTAGAAACTATATTATTAAATTAAACAAAAAAAATAAATGAAATCAACAATGGTCTTTTTTAATTATAGTTGTATAATATTAATGTTAATAATTTATTTATCAAAACATTTAATTATGGCCAATACTGATGATAATAATGGTTAGATTGTTAATTATTAACAACAACAACAAAATATAATTAAAATTTATTATTAAATATTATTATTAAAATGACATAATTTGCTTATTTTAATATTTGACTAATTAAAAAAAAATTTAAATTATATATAAACAATAGATTCGGATGGCGGTAATCATGGTTCGGATAATGATAATAATAATCATGGTTCGGATAATAATAATAATAATCATGGTTCGGATAATAATAATAATAATCATGGTTCGGATAATAATAATAATAATCATGGTTCGGATAATAATAATAATAATCATGGTTCGGATAATAATAATAATAATCATGGTTCGGATAATAATAATAATAATCATGGTTCGGATAATAATAATAATAATCATGGTTCGGATAATAATAATAATAATCATGGTTCGGATAATAATAATAATAATCATGGTTCGGATAATAATAATAATAATCATGGTTCGGATAATAATAATAATAATCATGGTTCGGATAATAATAATAATAATCATGATTCGGATAATAATAATAATAATCATGGTTCGGATAATAATAATAATAATCATGGTTCGGATAATAATAATAATAATCATGGTTCGGATAATAATAATAATAATCATGGTTCGGATAATAATAATAATAATCATGGTTCGGATAATAATAATAATAATCATGGTTCGGATAATAATAATAATAATCATGATTCGGATAATAATAATAATAATCATGGTTCGGATAATAATAATAATAATCATGGTTCGGATAATAATAATAATAATCATGGTTCGGATAATAATAATAATAATCATGGTTCGGATAATAATAATAATAATCATGATTCGGATAATAATAATAATCAAGGTTCGGATAATAATAATCATGGTTCGGATAATAATAATAATAATCATGGTTCGGATAATAATAATAATAATCATGGTTCGGATAATAATAATAATCATGGTTCGGATAATAATAATTATGGTTCGGATAATAATAATAATCATGGTTCGGATAATAATAATAATAATCATGGTTCGGATAATAATAATAATCATGGTTCGGATAATAATAATTATGGTTCGGATAATAATAATAATCATGGTTCGGATAATAATAGTCATGGTTCGGATAATATTAATCATGGTTCGGATAATAATAATAATGATGGTTCGGATGATGATACGATTGTATATGATAAACGTGGAAGGGATGATACTGTATATGATGATGGTTCGGATGATACTGTAACTGATAATAATACTAATCATAGTACAACTGAACCTGATGATAATACTGCAATGAAACGTATTGGTAAATTTTTTAAAGGATTAGGTCACGACATTAAAGAGGGTTTACTGCGTCCAATGGATTGTATGATATAATAACGTTTTTTTTAATTATAATTACTTTTTATAAGTTAAAATTATATATATACACCCCGCAAATTAACTATCTTATACTGGGAAAATGTTAATATCTTTTTAAATAATAGACGGATTTTGATAATGTTTGTTTTAAAATAAAGCTTAGCTCCCCCGATTGATAAATCAATTAAAAAATTTTACAAAAAAAATTATAAATTTAAATTAAGTGAAAATTGACAAAAAAAATTTATAGAATTAGACATTTATTTCTTATGTCTCATCTTTTCCATAGCATTTGCTGGAAATCGCAACTTTTACTTAAAATTATTTTAAAAATAAAAATTATAATTTTTTTGTTGTCATTTTTTAATTGTTTTATCAATCGGGGAAGTTAAGCTTTATTTTAAAACAAACATTATCAAAATCCTATTAAAATTATTTAATCTACTTTAAAATTAGTTCTTAAAAAATTAGTATTATTAGCTTATCTAGATCAACAGATCATTTTATTACAAATTTATGATATTTTACTTTTTGATAAATTTTAAACAAAATCAATCAAAAGTTTAATTAATAATAATTAATTATTTTTAAAATGTTATATATCTTTTATTTAAATTTTATATTTTTATTTATTTTTATTAAATACTTCAAAATAGATACAAAAAGAGAGTTTATTCAGGAATCTAGAGGTAAAAAATAATAATAATAAAGCATTCATCAAACATATAAACATGGTAACTTATAATTTTTACAAATAATTAATTAAAATATACTATTAAATTAATTTTATTATTATTATATACTATATAATACTATAGTTATATATAATTATACTATAGTATATAATTTTTTTTAATAATGTAATAATATAATAATGTTATGATTATGAACATTATTATTATATTTACATTTTAAAATTTAATATAAATGTTTTATTTTATTTAATTAAATAAATAAATAAAATTTTATAGTTAATAATTTTTATGTTTACGATAGATATGATATATGTTTTTTACTTGTTTTTAATTTTAAATTTGTAAAAAATAATATTTTAGACATTTAATATAGATAATTTTAAATCAATATTTTTTGAATATAATAAATACATCAAAAAATACAGTATAATTATATATAAAAAATTTTTATAATTATGAATTATATATTCTTTTATTTTTTTTTTTGAAACAAAAATGTTTATATACTTTATATTATTCTATATTTAAAATTTTTTAATAAAAAATAAATAATAAAATTATAGTATATATATATATATATAATCTTAATTAATTAGTTTCGTATACAATCTATATATATATATATATATATATATATATATATATATATATATATATATATATATATGACAGCCGGGTCAATTATAGGTAAAAAGCAATCTCAGCCAATAGTACTATCAATCGGTTCCCAATCAAACACCAATGGACAGTAATGTATAATTAAATATAATATTTTTTTTAAAAAAAATATTTATAATTAATATAACTTTTCAAATATTTTTAGTAAATATAATTTATTTTAATTAACTGCATAGTACAATTATATATAATAATAATGTTATTTATATCTATCATATAAAACAATTACCAATATCAAATAAGATTATTAAATAATCTAACCATGATCAAATTATAACTAGTACTAGATTATTTTTAATATAATATTTAATTATTATATTTTAATAGTTTTTTTGTGCAATAGAATTTTTTTTAACAAAATTTTCAATAGTATAATAAATAAGTTATATTTTCAAATTTTTTTTTAAAAATAAAATAAGTATCAATTACAGGAAAAATTTTTAGTTACGTTATATTATATATAAATATATATATATTTATTTATAGCACATATGATTTATTTAGTGAAAAACAAAAATAATTAAATTCACTATAATTTTAATTATTAATCTAATCAGAAGCAAATAAAAATTTTTCTATCAATTATTACTAATAAATAATTTAAATATAATATTAACTATATATATATATTTAAAAATGAAATCAACAATGTATTCTTATAGTTGGTTATTAATGTTAATAATTTTGTCGATACATTTAATTGTTATCACTAGTGCTAATCAATATGATTAGATATTAATTTTTTTAAAAAAATAATAAAAATAACAAAATTATTACAATTTAATTATTTATTATTTTTAAATATTTTTTTTTTAAAAATTAATAATTCTAATGATTCTAATTCTTAAAATATTTATTTTTTTAAATTATTCAGATTATAGATCAGTTGTATAAACAATTTTTATTTTAATTTTTTAACTTATTATTTAATTTAGAAATTTATTTATTTTTTTATATAAAAAAGTTTAATTTATTTTTTAGAAAATTATTAGTATTTTTATATCAGGGTTTTTAAGCAATGGGAAATAGATAGGTGGGGTGATTCTTAATGACCGTCTCCACCATCCTAAGGTTTAGATATTTTTTTGTTTAACCCCCCCCCTCCTCCCCATAGACTTTTTGACCAATTAGATATTATTTGGGGAATATTATAGATTTTAAAGGTATTTACATGTAAATTTTGGGGATTTTTTTACCCCCACCCCTAGACTCCACTAAAAATTTTTTAAAAAAAAACCTTGCTTAATCCTGTCTTTATATATATATATATATGACTTTATACGTATATATATTTATATCTTTTAAATTATCTAATGTATTATAAATTTAGTTTTATATTATAAAAAAATGCCGGTTAAAAATATAATAAAAGCCTATACCCGTCCCAGACCCCCCCCCCTCCTTCATATAATCCATAAAAATCTTGCTTAATCCTAATATACACATAACTTAATAATAAATAATATTCAAATCAACATAAACATAATTTTTTTAATTTTAATTTATGTATTAAATTTTGTTGTAAAACAATTACAAGATAAAATAGTATTATGTACTGTATATAACATTTTTAAAAAAATTACAATTAAACAATTATATAGCAAAAAAAAATTTGATTTTAAACAATTAATGAACATATATATTAATAATTATTATAAATAATATTTAATTTTGTAATAAAAATTTACTAATTTAATATAATAAATGAACAACATTGATTAAATAATTAATTAATTAATTAATACATACTGTATATACTGTAATAGATTGACATTGTTTATGATATTAATTATTACTAAAACTAAATATATATAACTAATAATAATTATAGTAATAATAATTAACAATAAAAAATTAATAAAAAAAACAAATTAAATTGTCTCTAAAAATCTATTTTAAAAATAAGTCAATTATTTCGCTTCATCTGCGATGAAGACAATAGTGAAGCTTTGATATCATCGGAAAATTTGGCCAAAAAATACGGATGACTCGTACGGGCGCAATGTGTGGCCAAAACGCCCAATTCGTTTGTATGTTCAACATTGCGATCGTATCTCAGCTGATTACCGAAAACATCGGTCAACCGTCCGCCCAGGCTTTCCAGTACGGCTTCCGGTGCACAGGTATCCCATTTTTTGCAGCCCCGACTCGGAAATACGTAGGCATGAGCCTGACCTTCGATAACCAGCAGTACCTTATGGCCGGCACCGCCCACACGTATTACTTCGTCCGGATTGATATGTTCGATGGCAGCGTTGATTGTCGGCGAACTATGCGATCGGGTAGTCGTTACTATAACTTTCCCTACTGGTGGCTGCCTGTGCTGGAAGCCGTAGGCACCCAGACCTACCAATCCCCATATGGTTCGACCTAATTTCGTACTATCATTTTCTTTCTATATGTATAACATAATTATTATTATATATATATATAGGAAATATATTTTGAGGAATATATTGTTTATAAGGAGGGACTGACATCAAAATTATAAAATGGTTGATGAATGACACCGCCAATTGCCCGCCCCTTTACCGATAGGCCGATGAGGACAGTAACGTGATCGAGAAGTCCTGTATGTGTGTGTGTGTGTGTCAATCAAATTTTGATTATTAGGATTTACGGTTAGATTTAATTGCATACATATATTAAGATAATAATAATATCAAATCAAACAGTTTTTTTTATATACAAACCTTGTGTGTATTCGGAAGTACCATCCAATGGGTCGACCCATACCTACCAAACAATAACAAACAAACAAAAAAGTCGAAACAAACAAAACAATCAAAAAAATCAATTAAATTTTGTTAATTATAACATAAATGTCAACCAATAATAATAATAATAATAATAATCAATTGAATTAAACAATAAGCCGTACGACTATATCTTCATCGGTAACATTCAGCCATTCTTCTGGACACTTATGGCTCAACACTGACTCGTCAAATGAGCTGACAATCCATTTGTCGTCGATCTTATCATTTGGATCTAATGTCTTCATGAGTAATAGACAGACAGACAAACAAAAATTAATGGTTAGATAAAAAATAAAATAATAGTTAAGACATAAGTACTGGATCTTTAGGGAAGACATCCAATAGACAGACAGACAAACAGATAGACAGACAAACAGATAAATAGATAGACAGACAAATAGATAGACAGACAAATAGATAGACAGACAAACAGATAGACAGACAAATAGATAGACAGACAAACAGATAGACAGACAAATAGATAGACAGACAAACAGATAGACAGACAAATAGATAGACAGACAAACAGATAGACAGACAAATAGATAGACAGACAAATAGATAGACAGACAGACAAACAGATAGATAGACAGAAAGACAAACAGATAGACAGACAAACAGATAGACAGACAAACAGATAGACAGACAAACAGATAGACAGACAAACAGATAGACAGACAAATAGATAGACAGACAAATAGATAGACAGACAGACAAACAGATAGATAGACAGAAAGACAAACAGATAGACAGACAAACAGATAGACAGACAAACAGATAGACAGACAAACAGATAGACAGACAAACAGATAGACAGACAAATAGATAGACAGACAAATAGATAGACAGACAAACAGATAGACAGACAGACAAACAGATAGATAGACAGAAAGACAAACAGATAGACAGACAAACAGATAGACAGACAAACAGATAGACAGACAAACAGATAGACAGACAAATAGATAGACAGACAAATAGATAGACAGACAAACAGATAGACAGACAAACAGATAGATAGACAGACAAACAGATAGATAGACAGACAAACAGATAGACAGACAAACAGATAGATAGACAGACAGACAAACAGATAAATAGACAGACAAACAGATAGACAGACAGACAAACAAACAGACAGACAAACAGACAGACAAACAGACAGACAAACAGACAGACAAACAGACAGACAAACAGACAGACAAACAGACAGACAAACAGACAGACAAACAGACAGACAAACAGACAGACAAACAGACAGACAAACAGACAGACAAACAGACAGACAAACAGACAGACAAACAGACAGACAAACAGACAGACAAACAGACAGACAGAAAACACTAACAAACCTCTTCGCCAATAATAGCAATCTTCGGGAACTGTTTCGACAGTGAAGTAATGATACAGTTTTGCGCCCGTCGGTCGGCTTCGGTCTGCAGATCGTTGACTCCCTTTCGGTGGTATCGAAGAAGAAAAAATTAAATATATCATAAGATCAGTCAGTCATCTTAAAAGCTGATCCATAGGTTTTGAAACCTGAAACACTTACTTTGTCGACGACGGCCAGTTCGCCCGTTTTCATTACATCCCTGACTATAGAGCCGGCTTTGGCCGATATGTTTACCGACGACGACAATATTCTCAGTACTAGATTGTTGGACATTGTTTTCCAGATCATCCGATTGGTTGGTCACTGCCAGTCAATGGATCAGTTGGTCGGTCGGTCGGTCGGTCGGTCGGTCGGTCGGTCGGTCGGTCGGTTGGGTGAGTTTGTGGCCAAACACACACACAGACACTACTACTAGTGGTTACACTATCGGTAAATCGGTGGCCAATAAAAAAAATAAATTATTTATTGAATCGCTTTTTTTATTGTTTTAGTAATCATATGATTGACTGATATTTAACTACTATTACTACTACTACTACTGTGTATTGTATTGATTGTTGAAATACCGATAGATTTTATTTATTTATTTTATTTTATTTTTTTTGAATAGAGAGGAAAATTATAACCAAAAATATTTTGTTTACTTATATAAAACCCGGGAACCAAACCCAATTATTTATAATTATTTTTAAAAATTATAGTATAAAATAAGTGTAAATTTACAATTTTATAAAAAAAAATAAAATCATAAATATTTTATAATTATTAATATATATTTTTTTGTCAACTAATTTAAACACATTTTTTTAAATAATAAATAAAATAAATAAATAATATAAAACCAACATGATAAAATCAGTAGAGAGAAAAAAAATACAATTTATTAATATTATTATAGTTTTTTTGTCAACTAATTTAAACACATTTTTTTATTAAAAATTATAATAATAATAAAACCAACATGATAAAATCATTAGAGAGAAAAAATACAATTTATTAGTAATATTACAATATTTAAAAAAAAAACATTTTTATTCTAACCCTAAACCATGTATTGCTTCCCTCCCGGAGCTAAACCCGTATTGTATGTTAAACTCTAGTATTTAAACTATTGATATGTTTAGGAAATATACAGTATATTACCCGACAATAGGTGGTATCACTAGTAATATAATAGTAGTGCAAATGTTTTTTTTTTAATTATTTTTTTTTTTTGGTAACAAATATTATTATTTACTGACAACTCATATATATAAAAGTCTATATGTTTTTTACTTAACAAAAAAAATAATAAATATTTTTTTAACATTAAAATTGTGTTTACATTCACATACTGTACATATAGTACAGTCATAGTGTGTATATAAAACATAAATAACATAAACAGTACATCAACTGTTTCATTATAAACAAAACCAAAACACCAATGGCCGCCACGCTATGATACTCTTATTTAATTTTTTTTTTGACACTACACTTAAATTACGTTTACATATTTATTGCATACACAATAATGCAATAATAGCATAATAATAGCATTAAAACGTAATTTAAGGGTAGTGTCCAAAATAAAACATTAAAATAAGGGTATCATAGCGTGTGGCTGTCATAATTGTTTTGGTTTTGTTTATAATGAAACAGTTTTTATTATTATTATTATTACAGTATTGAATACACGTATTATTAATACATTAATATAACATTAACTCTCTCTCTCTGTGTATGTGTTTATAGCTATTGAAACATAAAATGTTTTATATATTTATTTGTATTAATAATTATTATTAATGAATGATATGTTAAATAAATAATAAATAATTTTTATTATTATTATTATTACATTCAAGTATTGACATCGGGTTTGTGTCAATAAACCTGATTTGATTGAAGACTGAACTGACTGACTGACTGTCATCCACAACAAGAAGAAGAAGAAGAAGTGATTGAATCGTCTGAAGATGTGGTCGTTTTGGTCGAGAGATCCGACAAAAGATTTCGGTTACGATATACAAGATTTGTTGGCCACGGATGACAAATGTATTTGGGTTTTACATAAAGCTAAGAAAAAGGTCTGTCTGTGTTGTTGATCACCAGCAGCTGATCCACACAAATGTCTATCAACTAAGACTCTCTTACTTTTCCAGTCGACCGGTGAGTTGGTCTCTGTGTTTCGCTACGAACAGAAGCCCGGCGGCAGTGGTGACAATCATACGGACAGAGCCAAGAATGCTGTCAAACGTTTGAAGACATTAAGACATCCATCTATTCTAACTTATGTCGACTCACTAGAAGTATTTGATATTATTATATGATATCTGTTGCTATGTCTCGATGATGAACGATGAAGAAGTAGAAGACAATGTGTCCTAATATAACTAATTATTGTTTTTTTTTGTTTTGTTTATCACTTTAATTAGTCCGATAAATATGTTTATGTGGTCACCGAATATGTTATACCATTGGAACAGTATTTGCAATCGATATCCGATTATACACAACAACAGAAACAATTGGCCATATCTTGGGGCTTATATCAGGTGGCGGTAAGTGTTTTATGGGAGAGGACTATATATATATATATATATATAGAGAGAGAGAGAGGATTGATGTAGCCATCGATGTCTACCTAATATCTCACTCATAACTGATTCCCCTTAAAAACTACTGATAAAACAGAAAGGACTCGGTTTTCTGATCAATGATTGCAATCTATCGCATAATAACATATGTATGCCATCGATATATGTGAATTCGGGTGGCGTCTGGCGGATAGCCGGTCTCGAGTATGTCAGCAGCAATACGACCGCAGCCGACACCGATACGTATCCGACAAAAGCCTTAGCATTTCAAAGCAAATACACGCCACCGGAACGAGTGGATCAAACTAAACGATATAACGGTTCTAAATGGTTAGTCTTAAAAATATAGGTTTTACCGGTATATATATATATATTTAAGAGACAATGATTTAATCAAAAAAAAAAATTTTATGTTATGTATATTAGGGGCGCCGATAGTTGGGGTCTCGGATGTCTAATATGGGAATCGTTTAACGGTTTATTACCCGAAACTAATAAACTAAGATCTCTTGGAAGAGTAAGTTATGAATTATTTAGTGTATTTTGCTAATGATTTTAATGATTTTAATGATTTACCCAAATTAGATACCGAAGCTATTGTCGACGCCATACATGGAACTGATTAGCAATAATGCCAACAATAGGTTAAGTCCATCCGATTTCATCACAAAATGTCGTTCGGCTAATGGTTTTCTTAAAAATAATTTTATCGATTCGATGCTATTCCTCGAAGAGATACAGGTATTTGATTTTTGGATTTAATTTTTTTGTTGTTTGTTTGACAACAAAACAAAAAAATTTCATTTATTATCAATTTAATAGATCAAAGACGCCATCGAGAAGAATAGATTTTTCACAAATCTTGATAACCATTTGGATTCGTTTCCGAAGGATATTTGCAAGAATAAGATTTTACCACAACTGGTAACCGCCTTTGAGTTTAGTGCCGTCGGATCAGCTATTTTAGGTCCATTGTTTAAAGTAAGTATCGATGCAATTATTGTTGTCTTTCCAAATAATTATAACTATACTGTTGTTATTATATTTTAAAAAAATAAAATTGATTTTATAATTATTATTATTATTATCTGATTTGATTGATGTGACAAATAGATTGGCAAATCGCTAGATGAGGACGAGTTCCAGAAAAAGATAGTTCCCTGTGTTGTCAAACTGTTTGCCTGTAAGGATAGGGCTACAAGAGCTAAACTATTGCAACAGGTTTTGTATTACAATTAAAAAAATAACCATTTTTTTCAAAAATAATCATTGGATTAGATTGTAATTGTTTTTTTTTTTGTTGACAATTGATTCAATGTTTGTTTGATTGTGGAACAGATGGACACATTCATCAATTATATACAACCAAATGTAGTCAACGATAGTGTATTTCCTAATGTTTGTCAAGGATTTCTTGATTCAAATCCAGTCATCAGAGAGCAGACCGTTAAAGTAATTTATTTTTTTAAATTGATTAATTTATTGTTATATATATATAATTTATATTATTGTTATTGTAGTGTATGTTACATATGGCACCCAAACTAAACTATCATAACCTGAATGAAGAGTTGATCAAAAATTTTGTTAGACTACAGACCCGTGACGAAGAGGGAGGTATTAGGACTAATACAACCGTTTGTCTCGGAAAGGTTGCCAGTTATTTGCATCCGCAGATACGTCAGACAGTACTGATACCGGCATTTTTGAGGTCAATGCGCGACCCATTTCCGCCGGCACGTATAGCCGGTATACTAGCCCTGTCGGCTACGCAAAACTTTTATTCGCTAAAAGAGTGTTCCACTCGTGTAATGTCTGCCTTATGTCATCTGATTATGGATCCGGAAAAACAGGTCCGCGATCAGGCCTTCAAAGCGCTCAAAGGTTTTATCGGTAAAATGGAAAAAGTATCGGAAGATCCGTCGCTAGCGGAACAAATGGGTTTGTTTTTTGTTGTTGTGTTTAATCTGTTATTTATTTATTAAATCGGTAATTATCGGGTAAATATTTTTTGTCTATAATTGTTTTTATCATCCAATCAAATAGAGGCTGACTTGAACGCCGCCGGTAGTAATGTTTCGTCAACACTGGCCGCCAGTTGGGCCGGTTGGGCAGTTTCGTCGCTGGCATCTAAGTTCTACCGAAGCAAATCGTTGTCGGCCGACTTGAAGACAACAAACAACAGCACAACTCAGTCATCATCATCGGCGGCGACGACGACGATGGCCAACAAAGACAGCAAAGACAAGGACGCCGATAGACCGCATACGCCACAAACGCCTGGTATTCAAAAGTCAGAGTCGGGTGATTCGCAACAGGACTTCGAGGAAGAAGTTTGGGGTTCTATTGACGCCGATAACAGCAATAGTCAGTCGACGAATGCCGCCAGAAAATCGTTGGACGGCTGGGATGAAGACTGGAATAATGAAGACCACAATGAAGATAATGACGAAGAATTCGATGATAAAGAGGAGTCGTCGTCGTCGACAACAACAACAAGAAAATCAGCGAATCATTCGGTTAGAAAAGAAGATGGCGACGACTTCTTCGATCAGTTTACTACATCGGGTAATAGCAATAAAAGTAAATCAGCTAAGAATTGGGAAAAGTCGTCGTCATCGTCGACAACGACCACAACAACAACCAAAGCTACTGATGAGTTCAACAGTGGTGACGACGATATCAGTAGTTTCGGTGTTGGCGGCGGCGGCAAACAACATGATGTCACCAATAGTAGTACTACTGGTAGTGATGAACCACAACAACAACAACAACAGAATAAAGTGGTACAACAAAGACGACTGAACAGAACTAAAGATTTAGAGGAAAGAAGAGCTAATCAGAAGAAGTCGACGACCAAAGGTCCGATGAAATTAGGCGCTCAACGTATCACTTGATCCCCTTTGAAGAGGCGACCACCCGGAAGAAGATGTTTTATTACCACTTTTTATTAGCAGTTTTTTATTATTATTATTAATTAATTAATTAATAATTATTGTCAATACTTTAATAGTAATAATAATAATATCGGAAACAAATCGATTTCATTACAGTTTATTTATTTTATAGGTTTATTGATAATAATAATAATAATATTAATATTATATAAAAACAAAATATTTATTTTTTTTAAATTAATGTATTTTTTTAATTTAATATTAATTATATTAATAATTTTTCATTAATTTTTAAAAATAATTTATTAATAATTTATTATTATTTCTCACTCTTTTTCTACAAGAAAATCTTGGTTAAGAATTTCATTTTATTTAAATTATTATTATTTTTTTGAAAATTACGTAAATATATATTTATGTTTTTTTTTTATTTAATTATCTCTTAAATTATTGAAAACACTTATTAGAGTAAATAAGTTTTTTTTTTTAAATAGTGAAACTGTTTTTTTTATCATTCAAATGTAAAATGTTAGCTAAAATAATATATATTTTGTATATATATATATATATATATAATGAACGAAACAATAAATTGTGATAAACTTATAGCCTATAATATAGTATCAATCAATAAATTAATTTTTAATTTTTTAAGATATCATACCCTTTAACATACCTATCCATATGGTAATACATATATTTAAGTATAGCCATCACCACTACATAACTCCCCCCCCACTATCAATAGTATTATTTATTTAATAATTTTACAATAATTATAACTATAAATACAGTATATATATTTATAGAGAAAAATTTTAAACAATTTAAAAAATTTTGATTATTAACCATAATTTTAAAATATATATTTACAGTAAATATATATAATTATGTATAAATTTAAACATTAGACTAATTAAAAAAAATACATTTTAATGTTTTATGTATTTATTACATGTAATTATTTTAATTTGTAAAACTTTTTGAACAAATAAAACAAAAAGTAATTGAAAGTTGTCTATCATATGAAAATAAAATAAATAATAATTTTTAATAAAAACATAAATAATATACATATAAATAATAACATTTTACTTTAATTTATAGTTTTATTGTTTTATATATTATAATATTAGCTAAAAAAAATTTACAGAATATTTGCTATAAAAAAGGGATGTCTATAACAACAACAACACTTAAAGTATAGGGGAATGGGATGGGGGAGTCATATTAGACAGACCCCCTCCCCATACACATGACTGTGCGCTGGTGTTACGCAATAGTTTGTTGTGTAGACAACACACATATACACTGTTTGATTGACAGACTCTCTCTCTCTCTCTCTCTTTCTTAGACATTGAAAAAATAACACATGAATTACATATACAATAGACTGTATATATATTAATATCAATAATACTAATAATATCAATAGTGGAAAATATATTTATGTATTTTATTTTTTATTGTTGTTATTGTGTCCATCAATACAATTCAATACTATACTACAGTAATATCATAAGTGTATTGTAATATTATTGTGTAAATACAAAAAAAAAAATAGATATTTAAAAAAAATATTAATAAATCAATTGTGTTTAACAGTATATATATAACATATATGTTATAACTAAATAATAATTTTTGTTTAAATTTGTTTTAAAATAAATTAAAATCAAATAAATTTATTATTTTTTTAAAAATGGGAATAATATGATAAACAAAACTATAGTTTTTAAGCGCTTATAAATCAAAATTTTTTTTTTAATTTTTAAAAATTCAGCATACTCCAATTATTATTATTATTTATTGATTTGAATTAAATTAATAATAAATCATCCAAGGTAAATTACTATATCATTTTTTATAATTTATATATATTTATATTGTATATTTAGTATTTATACATACTAATAATAATAATAATAATAATAATAATAATAATAAGTAAACACCATGTTGTTTTTATTTATTTTGTATAACAAATTGTTTGTACTAGGTGGGTTTAACAAATTTATGATCAATAATAATAATAATAATTTTAATTAATTTTAATATTATGGATAATATAAATGATAAATATAAAGTATAATATTCAATGTTTGATTAAAACTCTAAATTGATATTTTTAATTACTAAAAATTTTATAAATTAATTAATAATTATAACTTTATAAATTGATTTATTGTGTAGTGTGGTGTAGTGTAGTTTATTTTATTTATTAAATAGAAATTACCTCGGTAATTAAAAATAATTTATAGTACAGTAATTTATACTAACAATTAATTATTGATTATTAGGTTAATATATATATATTGAATTTAGTTTATCTAAAAAAAAATGTTTATAATAAATACTGTTACTATTTAAATATTTTTTTAAAAATATATTTTTCAACAATAAAAATAAAATCAAATGCCAACAGTTATTGTTGTTGTTATATATATATGTTATATATTATATATATATATTAATATAAAAAAAAACATTATTTGTTTGTTTGATTGTTAGATATTTAAAATTTTTTAAAAAAAATTAAGTACAAAAATCTAATAATAATTATAATACTTATTAGTATTAGTATTGATAGACATATAATAATAATAATAATAATAATAATAATAATATCAAATCTGAAGGACAGTTGTGTTTGTGTGTTGTTGTTGTTGAAGAAAATCTATGATAAAAGTGAAGAGTATTTTTGAGTATATCTATAATAAATATATATTTAATTTATATATATATTTGAATAACTTATATATTATATATAAAATATACTGTATGTATGTGTGTTATTATAGTACTGTATGGGTACTTAATATAAGTATATTATAAAAACTTTGATACTTATAAAACATTTATTATCAATTATTATCAAATAAATAAATAAAAAAAAATTAGTTTATTAGGTATACTATACTGTATGTGTATGTGTCTAACAATTTTATTTTTTTTTTAAGTGACAAAAGTCCATCAAAAAAAAATATTTGATAAATAAATATATATCGATATATATATATATAGATAGATAACATTATGTATATAATGTTTTTTAAAAAATAGATAAATATATTTTTTTTATGAAATGATATTTATTTTTAATAATTGATTTTTTTAGCACACATTCCGTATATGATATCAATGATATCATATCATCAAATATTTTCCTAATAATTATTTTAAATTATTAAAATTAACAATCACTTAATTATCGATATATATATATATAAAATATATATTATCAGCTGATATTTAGATTAAAAAAAAATTTGGTAAACATTTATTAATTAAAAAAATAAAATTATTGAAAACACTTATTTAATAATAATATATTTATCAATAATCATTGATTACATTTGATTCAAATCATTTACCCCTCATATAATGATTAATCAAAAAAATTAAATAATTATCAGTTTATTGATAGCTAAAAATAAAACTATTTTTTTCTAACAAAATAATTTATAACTATTTTTTTAAAAAATTATATTAAAATATATAAGAGGAAAACTTTATATAATATATAAATATTTATTTTTAACTAAAATATAATATTATTATTACATAATAATTTTTTTTTAAAAAATTTATGTGTCCACTCATCTATTATAAAAATTTTCCGGTTAATGATTATAGTTAGGTATTGAAATTAAAGTATATTTATTTATTATTGATATTTTTTTAAAAAGTCAAACATTGTGTTTATATGATAAACAGATTATTTTGTTAATAAAAAAATTAAATATCAATCATTGATAAGTATATCTCATTAGATGTTTTTAAACAACATAATATCGCAATAATCATTGCATATGAATATATAATTAATTAATTTACGATATAATGTTTTTTATATATTGTATATAAATTACTTTTAATAATAATAATAATAATTATTATTATTATTATTATTATTATTATGCAAAATAGCTATTAAAATTCCTTACAATTACTTAAAATTGGTTATAAAAAGTTATATAAAAATTTTATTACTACTACTACTACTACTATTGATAATAATAATAATTTTAATTGTTTTTTTTGAACAAAATAACATTTTTAGGTAATTTTCATACAACACATCAAATTTGGAAATTATTATTAAAAGTTATAATTTGATAACTAAATGAAAAATTTGAATTAAATAAAACAAATACAATACATTATTATTATTATCAAATCATCCATCAATATGACTATAATTACCCGACTAATAACTGGCCATAGAAATGGCAAAACTGCTTTACAACAACTATTGCCGATTACTTGCCGATCGGTAAACATTGCCAACCGTCGGTATGATTCGTCCTATGAGGTGAAGCCAATCAAAAAAGTATTGGTCGCTAATAGAGGTATTATTTATTTTTTTTGATTATTTTCATTACCCGGTAATTGTTTACTAATACCCCCCCCCACCCCACTCTCTATTACCCGATTATTCAGGCGAGATAGCTATCCGGGTGTTCAGGGCGTGTACAGAGCTAGGGATCCGATCGGTGGCCCTGTACTCTGAACAGGATAAGATGCATATGCATCGGCTAAAAGCCGACGAAGCCTATCTGGTCGGTAAAGGTTTGCCGCCGGTTCAGGCCTATCTGAACATTCCCGAAATCATACGTATCGCTCAAGAATCGGAAGTCGACGCCATTCATCCGGGCTACGGGTTTCTATCCGAGCGATCGGATTTTGCCCGATCGTGTCTCGACAATGACATACGATTTATCGGGCCGTCGCCCGATGTTATGGCCCGTATGGGCGATAAAGTCGAGGCCCGTAAAGCGGCCATCGAAGCCGGCGTACGTGTAGTACCCGGTACCGATCGCCCTGTTATCAATGTCAACGATGCCAAAGTGTTTGTCGAAAAACATGGACTACCCGTCATATTCAAGGCTGCCTACGGTGGCGGCGGTCGAGGTAATGGTGTCGGAGTTTTTTAGTTGTTGTTATTGTGATAATTACCGATATTTATACTGTATATACAAAACAAATTATTGATACCCTGTTGTTGTTTGGGTGGGGACAGGTATGCGTGTGGTCAGAAATATGGCCGAATTGGAGGAAAACTTCGAGAGGGCTACCTCGGAGGCGCTGTCCGCTTTCGGTAACGGTGCTATGTTTATCGAACGATTCATTGAACATCCGCGACATATTGAAGTACAAATACTGGGCGACTCGTACGGCAATGTTGTCCATCTGTACGAACGTGACTGTACTGTCCAGCGTAGACATCAGAAAATCATTGAGATTGCACCGTCACCCAATCTGGATCCGGTAATCAGGGACAAGATATTGGCCGACGCTGTCAAACTGGCCAGACATGTCGGCTACCAGAATGCCGGTACTGTCGAGTTTCTGTTGGATTCGGACGGTACCTACTATTTCATTGAAGTCAATGCCCGACTTCAAGTCGAGCATACGGTTACCGAAGAGATAACGGGTGTCGATTTGGTACAGAAACAGATACGTATATCGGAAGGTCAATCGCTGGCCAATTTGAATCTCACCCAGGACAACATTCGTGTCCAGGGAACAGCCCTACAGTGTCGGGTGACTACCGAGGATCCGGCCAAAAATTTCCAGCCCGATACCGGCCGTATCGAAGTATTTCGTTCGGGCGAAGGTTTCGGTATCCGATTGGACGGTGCGTCGGCATTTGCCGGCGCTATCATATCGCCCTACTATGACTCGCTGTTGGTCAAAGTTATAGCCCATGCCAGCAACATTGGATCGGCATCGGCCAAAATGAATCGGGCGCTCAGAGAGTTCAGGGTCAGGGGTGTCAAAACTAACATACCGTTCCTATTGAATGTATTGGAAAATGAAAAATTTCTAAAATCATCGTACGATACAAACTTTATTGACACACATCCGGAACTGTTTAAGTTTGAGGCCTCACAGAATAGGGCCCAAAAATTGCTATACTATTTGGCCAATTTGATGGTCAACGGCCCGTCGACACCGTTGGCTACCAAACTTAAACCATCGGATATTATACCGGCAGTTCCGGCCACGACTACCACCACCACCGCCGAATCGACGACGACGACAACGACACCGAACGGCTGGAAACTAGTACTGGATCGCGAAGGTCCCGAAGCTTTTGCCAAAGCCGTACGCCAGCACAAGGGCCTACTGTTGATGGACACGACCTATCGGGACGCCCATCAGTCACTGTTGGCCACCAGAGTTCGTTCATACGATTTGCTTAGGATATCGCCCTATGTATCGCAAAACTTTAGCAACCTATTCAGTCTGGAAAACTGGGGCGGCGCCACCTTTGACGTGGCCATGCGTTTCTTGCACGAAGATCCGTGGGAACGGCTATCGGAAATGCGTACACTAATACCGAACATACCCTTCCAGATGCTCCTACGCGGTGCCAACGCTGTCGGCTATACATCCTATCCGGATAATGTTGTATTCAAATTTTGCGAACTGGCCAAACAAGCCGGAATGGACATATTTCGGGTGTTTGATTCGCTTAACTATTTACCAAATATATTGGTCGGTATGGAAGCCGCTGGCCAGGCTGGCGGTGTAGTCGAAGGTGCCATCAGCTATACGGGCGATGTATCGGATCCGAAACGTACAAAATATAATCTGGACTATTATGTCGATTTAGCCGATAAATTGGTAGCCGCCGGTACTCACATATTGTGCATCAAAGATATGGCCGGCCTATTAAAGCCGAGAGCAGCGAAAATGTTGATCGAAGCCCTCAGGTCGAGACATCCGGATGTTCCCATACATATACATACGCACGATACGGCCGGTGCCGGAGTAGCCTCAATGATCTACTGTGCCGAAGCCGGTGCCGATATTGTCGATGTTGCCGCCGATTCAATGTCCGGTATGACTTCGCAGCCGAGTATGGGTGCACTGGTAGCGGCACTGGCCGGTACCGAGCACGACACTGGCCTAAAATTACCGCACATATCCGACTATTCGGCCTATTGGGAACAAACCCGGACACTGTACGCACCGTTCGAGTGTACGACAACCATGAAAAGCGGTAACGCCGATGTCTATCTGAATGAAATACCCGGCGGCCAGTATACTAACCTACAGTTTCAGGCCTATTCACTCGGTCTGGAAAAACAATTTGAACAAATCAAGAAAGCCTACGCCGAAGCCAACAAACTATTAGGCGATCTAATCAAAGTGACGCCATCGTCGAAAGTTGTCGGCGATTTAGCCCAGTTTATGGTACAAAACAACTTATCGGCCAAAGATGTCGAAGATCGGGCCGAAGAGCTAAGTTTCCCGTCGTCGGTGGTCGAGTTTATGCAAGGTTTTATTGGCGAGCCGTACGGCGGTTTTCCCGAACCGCTGCGCAGTAAAATACTGAAAGGTTTGGCACCGATTCGCGGCCGGCCTGGCCAGCACTTGCCGCCCATGAATTTCATTCAACTGAAAGACGAATTGGTTGAAAAACATGGCGAACCAGTTAGCGATACGGATGTCATGAGTTCGGCAATGTATCCGAAAGTTTGCGACGATTTCATACAATTTCGCCACGAGTTCGGACCGGTTAGTCTGTTTGATACCCGAATATTTTTGACCGGACCTAAAGTTGGCGAAGAATTTGAGGTAAATTTTTGTTGTTGTTGTTATTGACATTTATCGGGTAATTATTATTTGTTTGGTTTTTTTAGGTAACACTCGAAAAAGGAAAGGTATTGCATATAAAAACTTTGGCCGTTTCCGAGACCCGAACCAATACCGGCGAACAGGAAGTGTTTTTTGAACTTAACGGCCAATTGAGAAGTTTTCTGGTCAAAGACAAATCGGTTACTAAAGTATGTATTAATTTAGTTTTAATTAATTAATTAATAATTTTATTTAATATTGAAAAAGGAAATTAAATCAAATCCGAAAGCACTGAAAGGTGTTAAGGGATCGGTTGGTGCGCCGATGCCGGGAACTGTCATCGAAGTTCGGGTACAGGAGGGCGACAAAGTCGATAAGGGACAGCCGCTGATTGTGTTGAGTGCCATGAAAATGGAAATGATTGTCCAGTCGCCGATCGGCGGAACTGTTAAGAAGATTTTTGTCAACAAAGACATGAAACTCGAGGGCGACGACTTACTTATGGACATTGATGTCGATTAAAATACTAATAATAATAATAATAATAAATAATAAAACTATTGTTATATAACACACACACACACACACACATAATTGTTGTGATAGTTAAAAAACATGATTTTATTATTTTGAGGGCATAATTACCGGTAATATTATATATATATATAACATTTGTAAAACTGACTGTTTGTTTGTTTGTTTGATTAGAAATATTAATAATAGTTTTGTTTGTTTGAATTGTTGTCATAATATTTTTTTTTTAAAAATATATATATATATATTTAAAAAAAACATTTTATTGAATTAAAAAAAAGTTTTGCAGATATTATCACCAAAAAAACCAAAAACAATCAATCAATCAATCAAAGAGCAGATCTGAACAAACAAACAAACAATTATATCAATCAATCAGTGATTTTTTCGGTTATCCATAACATATAATATATATATAAACACATCATGTCTTTCAGGAAAATAATAATTACCGGTATATTAAATATACATTAAATTTGTTTTTCTTAATTGTAAATGTAATTAATTATAAATAATACATTATTTTTAAAAAGAAAAAATTATAAAATGAATTTTAACAAAAAATTTAATTGTATAAAAATGTATACATAAATATTTTTTAGAAATATAAATATCTATAGGTTTTTAAAGATAATAGTTAATAAAAAAAATTATAATTTGCAATCAAAATGAACAATATTTACTGTAAATTAGATTATTATTATTATTTATTGATTTGTATATCGATAAATAATTTTTAGACAATTTTTTATTAAATCAATTAAATTTGTTTAAATATTTTTTTTAAATGTGTGATATATATACAGTATATATAATATTGTATACTTTAGTATATTAATTATTACATAATATATGATTATTATAAAAGTTTCAATTAATAATAAATGAAAATACTAATAATTGATGATAATTGATGATAATTTTTTTAAATGATTAAACGATATTATTGGTTAACGATATTTTTAAAAATTTACAATACATGTATTTTTTTTAAAAAATCTATAATAATAATTACCTAAATAATTAAATAATTAAAAGAAAATAAAATTGTGTGTATGTCTAATAAAGTTTAATTTAATTATCTAATAGTCAATAATTGCAAACAAAATATTTTACTAATATTATAATAGACTAATGAATATATAGTACTGTATATATTATATACTGTACATGAATAGTCATCAAATTAATTATTATATTTTTTTAAAAATTTTTAGAGAGAGAGAGAGAGAGAGAGAGAGAGAGAGAGAGAGAGAGAGAGTAGATATTTTGAATGTTATTTGAATGATAAATTGCAGATAAATTTTAGTTGATTTATTATATAGCCAACAGTATTTAATAATTATAATACTACTAATAATAATAATTTAATTTTCAATTATTTATTTTTGACGATAATTAGCATTCAAGGTTAGCCAATAAACTGAAATAAACATTTTGATATTTTGATAAATAAATAAGTTATATAAAAATAAAAATTTATATTAAAGTGACAACAATATAATAGATTGTAATTATAAATTATATACTGTATATTGAATAAAAAATAATTTTAAATTATATATATATTTAAAAAATGTTGACATTGCTATGAAAAATAATTTTATTTAAAATAAATAAATAAAAAATGCATTGACAAGGTGCTAAATAATAATAATAAAAAATGTGTATAATTTGTGTATAAGTTAAATAAATAAATAAATAAATAAAAATATGTTGACATTAATTTCAAAGTTTTATTATTAGTTAGTCTTTCAAAAAAAAAAAATAAATAAATATTTCAGGTTTTATTTTTGCAATGCTATCATAAATAGTTGTAATTTAATTCAAAAAAATTAAAATAAAATTAATATATAGTATTTAATTTATATAAATAATGTCTTCCTTATTGACCGATTAACTTTTTTTGCTGCAAATTTATTAATAAATTAATAAAACATTGGGTTATATTTATAAAAATAATGTCATTTAAAAAATTTAAAATATACAATTTGTTTCAACAATTGTATATAATTTAATCATCAATTGATAAAATCATTTATTTATTTATTTTTTTCAAAAAAAGAAGAAACAAATGAATCAATTTAATAAGGAAATGATTTTTTAAAAATAAAAATATCAAATTATAATACATAGTATTGAATATATACCGGTAATAGGTATTTTAAACTATAAATATAATATTAATTGATATTATTATTATTATTATTATTATTATTGATAATGAAATTTTATATGCAGTGTAGTATAATAAGGCAAAAATAATTTAAATAGTTTTATTTTTTTTAAAATGATAATTAATTAATTTGCATTTAATTCATATTATTATTATTATTCAAAATTTTACTACACTGTATTGAAATTTAATCGGGGTTTTTTGTATAGTAAATTAAATTGATATTCAATACCTTGAATAACCTGAATATTATTAATAATTAAGTGAGATATAGTGATATATATATAAATAATATATAAAATTTTATATATAACTATATATAAATTATATATGTGATAGTAACTTATATTAATATTATTATTATTTGATATTTGATATTTTACTATATAAAAAAAAAATAAAATAAAAATTTTTATAGTAAATGTCATTCAAAATTTCCCAACACTTATCGTGTGTATATATTATATATATGATTTGATGAGTATAGGTATCTATAAGTATAAAATGACTACCCATTTGTTGGTTGAATTTTAAATAATAATAATATATATACTGTATATATTTATAATAAATATGTGTGATTTTAAAAGCAATTGATTTTTTTTACTTTTTTGAATATTATATTTTTTTTATAAAAAAAATACTAACTATTAAAAGTTGTTAACATTGCATCTATACTTAATTGTCCTTGATTGATTATAAGTAAAATACAGTAACTTTTAATGTCTACCCTCCCCCCCTCAAAAAATTTACAGTAATACAAAATATTAATTATATTTAACGGTACTATTAATATGAAAATAATATAATTAGTTAATAGTAGTTTAACAACAATAATGATTGTTAAAAAAAAAAATTTTTCAATACTATTGTCAATATATATATATATTTATTAATCAATAAACAGTAGTTATTAACTATACAATTGAATTGATTGATTGATTAGTGGTTTTTTTTTGTTGTTGAAAAAACACAACAAACAATAATATAATGATTTATAAAAAAAAGTGTATTTATTATCTAAATACTAATAATAATAATAATCAATGTATTTCAAAAAAAAAAAAAAATTATTAATAATAATTAATAATAGCACGGATTGAATGTAACCCAATGGGCTTTCGGCTGTTTTCTGGCCGTTTCGTGCGACGTAAACAACGATTTATATGTTTCGCTAGCTTTCGGATCGTTGGCCACTGAATACAGTTTCGACGATTTATCGACCAGTTTGCTTGATGTCGATGTCGTCGCCGATGATGTAGAAGCAGCGGCAGCAGCTGATGGTTGTGGTCGAGTAGTAGTAGTAGTACCGGATGTACTGCTCTGGACAAAGACAATACTGGCAGACACTTTGGTGGTAATGGTCTCTGGTTTGTCGCCGTTTTCAATCACTGTTTCATCGGCGACGGCGGCGGCTTCGGCAGCAGCAATGGCAGTGGCCTTTCGTTTGCGGCTCTTTTTCATCGATTTTTCCTTATCTCTCAGATCGATCATACGTTTTCTTAACTGTTCCACTTCTTCATCGGTACCATTGATAACAATAATATCGTTGTCAGCCGAAAACTCTTTGTTACATTTGTGACAATTATCTGATTTGACTTCTTTGAGTGCCCGGTCAGACATTACACAACCGCAGGTCGCTATATAACAGAACTTGTAATTGCCTTTTGTTTGTTTTGGGTGACCATTAAAAGAGATTAACAAAAAAAAACGGGAGATATTATTACCGATAAAATCATGAAAAAAACCTAAAGTGAATCTAACCGTTCATTTCGATGCCGACTACTGGACAAACAAACTCCGAGTCTTGGGTATCAACGTATTGGCCGTCGACTTCCGATTTCTTATCCGAATAACCCGTCTTCGATGTCAACCCGAGCTGACGAATGTCTTTCATCGATCGGATGTGTTCGCAAACCGCGGAATTCGGTGCCGACGACTTGTCCAACAAATACTCGATGACCGCCTGTTTATTATAGAGTCGGCCCAACGGACAGCTGACAATCGGTTCGTGAAGTCTGGTGGAACTGATGGCACAGTATTGCCATTTGGCGGCCAATTCAACCGATCTGTCCAGTCGTTGTTGTTTTTGTTTCGTACGGACCAGTTCGTCGCGTTTCGGTATTGTTCCGCCGTCGCAACCCATTATCTATCGGTAGGATCGGTCGATCGGGTGAATCGGATGTACACGACTACTATCGGGTGAATCGGATGAACACGACTACTATCGGGTGAATCGGATGAATACGACTACTATCGGGTGAATCGGATGAATACGACTACTATCGGGTGAATCGGATGAATACGACTACTATCGGGTGAATCGGATGAATACGACTACTATCGGGTGAATCGGATGAATACGACTACTATCGGGTGGTGGCCGATATGGAGGACAAAATCGTTATTTTCTAATCACCAATTGATCCCAAATAATAAACAAACAAATTGTTAGTCAATATATAGTTATAACTGATGGCCGCGATTGTGCCTTACCGTTAATAACAGTAGTATAGACAGTGATTATAATGACTGCAATATAACAATCAATCAGTCAATCAATTTTGTTGTTGTTTTGGTTGACCACTAAATACAATAGTAATACTACTAATACTGTAAACACAATAAATTGTAACTAAAAAAAATGTCAATAATATTATTATTAGTATTATTATTATAACTACAATAATGTAAATAAATAGTCAGCCATTGTGTGTGTCAGTTATTGTAAATAAAAAAAAATAAAGGGTTATTCATAGACTACAGTACACATAGTTTTTATTAAATAAAAAACCACACTTAAAAATCTATAGCACTATGGAAACGGTCCCCTCATTTTCGACAAAAATGATGATGAGGCAATACCTGATAGTGTGGCCACACCTACAGTAGGCGGGACCCATATAAGCGGGTGTCACGTGTAGTATACACGCACACACACACACACAGTGAGAGAGAGAGAGAGAGAGAGAGAGAGAGAGAGAGAGAGAGAGAGAGAGAGAGAGAGAGAGAGAGAGAGAGAGAGAGAGAGAGAGAGAGAGAGAGAGAGAGAGAGAGAGAGAGAGAGAGAGAGAGAGAGAGAGAGAGAGAGAGAGAGAGAGAGAGAGAGAGAGAGAGAGAGAGAGAGAGAGAGAGAGAGAGAGAGAGAGAGAGAGAGAGAGAGAGAGAGAGAGAGAGATAAAACAGTGACTTATTTTTTGATAAATAAATAAAATCAAAATTTTTTTAATCAAAAAAATTAATAAAATAAATAATTTTAGAGATTAATTTAGATTATTGATATTAATATATATGATTAAAGAAAAATGTTATTACCCCCACCTCCACCTCCACCCCCACCCCCCAAATTACAGCCTAAAAACCTAGTGTACATTATTATTAGGTCACAATGCAATACATTGTTTATGTGTGTGTGTGTGTGTTTGCAATGAAAATAATTTAGAAAAATATACATGGTTAAATATGTATGTAACTTAATTTTATATATCATATTATATACAATTACTGTATATATATTGATATAAACAATATTTTTTTTTATTGTTAGACTGTATTTATGTTTGTTAATACTTTTTTTAAATTTTGTTGTTTGTATTATTTAATATATATGTATGAAAGTTAAATAACTTATTATATACGATATACTGTATATATATATATATATATATATATATATATATATATATATATATATATATATATATATAGTTTTTTGCCGGAAAATATCATTGATAAATAACTTTTGAAATATAAATTTTAAACACGAAAAAAATCAAACAAACAAAAAGTTGAGTCAATTTTCCGCTTTGAATATAAAGTTATTAGATTTTTTTGTTACATAAATTATATTTATTAGATTTTATTTCATTTTTATAAAAAAAAATTATATAATTGTTTGTATTATTTATATTAATAATAATAATAATCTAAAAAGCACTTTAAAAAAAACATTCCTGTAATTCATGTATTATTTAAATCTTTTTTAAATATATGTTTTGCTTAAATAAACTTTTAGCAAAAATATATACTTTTATAAATATTGACTGCAAATAAAAAAAACATTTTTTTTAAATTCAATATTTACAAGACCTTTAATATTATTTTTTTTTGTATATGTTTTATAACTCTACTAAAACTTAAAAGATTTGTCTATAAGTTTGTTAGTAATCATTACTTAAAAAAAATAATTTTTTGTTTGTTGGTAACGATAAATAAATTTCTAAATAAAAATAATTATTAATATTAAATAATTGAATTAGTAGTCCCAATAGTTTCCAATAAAATCCAAATCAATAGTATTATTAAATAGTAATTAAATCGGATTTTCAATTAATTAATTTATGATATCTTATGATACAGTAGTTTGTAATGTCTATATAAAAATCATGAATAAATAAAATGTATTTTTTATTTATTATATTATTGATTGTTTTTATTGTAATTGACACACATATACGGTATATATCTTAAAAAACAAAAATAATGATTTATTATTTTTTTTTGTTAACTAATTTATTTATTTACAAAAATTTATTTATCCCAGACCTATCCAATTTAATGTTTATATTGTTGATGTAATTTATAAATTATATACAGTATTATAATTAGCAATAATACAATTTATTATAGTGTATATTATACATTATATATATATTATATTGTATATAAATATCTAAATATTAAATTTCCAATAATAATAATATTAGCTAGAAAAAAAACTATTTGTCAAAAATCAATGGGAATTTTTTCAAACCAAAGTCTAACATTACATCAATAGTATTATAAACTATAATATACTATACTGTATATTATATTAGTATTGTTGTTACCAATCAATGGTATTATTATAATACTGTAATAAATGATATTGAATTCTAGTCCCAAAGTTTTTTTTTGAAATACTTTATATATATATATGATAATAATTAATAGTAAATAAATGAGTTTTTGACAAAAATTTTTGTTGGCTTAGAAATATTGGATACAAAATATTTCCTAAATTTATATATATATTTAGTACTAATATATTACTAATAAACAATTTATATATGTATAGAAACTGTCTAATTATATATATATATATATACATTATATTCTCCAATAAATAACATTGACTTTTATATATATATATATGTATATACACTATATATACAATATATACTGGTATATAAATATAACTACATTGTGAATCATACATACAAATATTATTTATAAATACTACTATTAAAAACTTATATATCAAAAATCATATGATATATGAATATTTTTGTTAGTGATAATCATACACTTTAATTACTTATATATATATATATATATAAGGAATATATCTAATATTTTATTTTCAGATAAAAATTAATTAAATGCAATCGATTCATAGGACTGGTAGTTGTTAATAGTGTAGTCATTCAAAACTATTTATTATTATTATTATTATTACTATTTATTTGTCTATACTGTATAATATCTATTACAATAAATTTACAGTACACAACTGGTAATATACATTATATTACCGATAATATAATGTGTGTGTTTTTTTGTATTAAATAATAATTTACTAGAAAAAAATTAACCAAAAAAAAAACTATATAATTACACATAAAATTATTTTTAACAACAAAAAAAACATTAGATATTTTCACTGTATATTTCACTGTCACTAACAAACACATACATACATACAGTCAGTCACTGAACAGTATATATATATATATATATATATTAGAGTTTATTTATTTAAATAAAAAAAACTTTTTTTTTCAGTACACTTTTGGCACTGGTATTACATGACTCCGGTTTTCAGGGGGAAAGGTATGTATGTGTGTGTCGATAAATACCCTAACTGTGTGTAACTAACTAATGTATTTGCTGTATAAACGCCGGGTATATATATTAATACTATATGTGTGAAACTATACCCATCAACAACAAAAAATGTGTTGCAATAGTTTAGTATCTATTTAGGTAATAATAATAATTATAATTATTATTATTATTATTAGTAGTAGTACTATAATATCATATACAGAAACTATTGGTTGTATATATCATATATTGTATTTGCAAATTGCAATTTGCAAATACCACTTGTATTATTCACATATATACATATACCAGTAAAACAGTAATTATTTTTTTATATTAGTTATATACAGTAGTTATAAGTTATATTAAATTAAAATAATTTTTAATACATTAATTTTGTTAACTAAATATACTGTAAGTTTCTCACTGAATAGACAGTGATTTTCTAGGGTTTTTATTATCAATGCATTTCAGGGGGGAGGGGATGGGAGGGGTGACACACACACATACACAGTTGGGGAGGAAAGTTATGTAGACACACACATACACACACACACACACACACACACACACACACACACACACACACACACACAACTTTCCTCTATAAAATATATAACTAATAAAAATCAGTGTGATTTCCCTGTGTTTAGTAGTCGTCTCATAATAATAATATATACAGTACTGTATTTCATACCACATACACCATACCATACCATACCATACCATACATTACACACACCAAACATACTGTACATTTGAGTGGTGTCTCTCATTTGGTTAATAACTAACTATTATTACTTGTATTTTATATTTAATTATTATTATTATTATTATTATTATTAATCAATTCATTTGTGATCGTCATCGACGAAAACATACTGTGTTTTTGTCTCTCTCTATATATCTTTATATATGATATTAAAAAAAAATTATTATTAATTTTTTTTCTTCTCATTTCATTCATTATAATTTTTTTTCTCATTTTATATATATATATAAAATCAATCGTTTTATATATATATATATATATTATTTTCATACCATTCATACTCATATAACATATATAATAGTAGTAGTAATTAATAGTTATTTAATTTAAAAAAAAAAATTACCGACAAATTAATAATAATAATAATAATAAAAATCATTTCAATAATTATTTAGTCGTTTACTAGTTTTATATATTATTATAATTTAAATTTAAAAAAATACTGTATTTAAAAACCCATTTGAAAATACCATTTATATACTATATATATATATGAAAACATCCATTTTATTGATAGTTTAGTTTTTTTATTTAAAAAAAAATTTATAATCAAAATTAAAAAATTGTTTTAATTTTTTTTTTAATAATAATAATAATATTAATTTTGTTTGCATTGAAAAATTGCGTCTCAAAACTGCTGCTGTTTTATGTATGTGTATATGTATTGTCGCCCGTTGTTGTTGATGTCATAGTCTACTACTACTACAACTACTACACCCAACCAAACCAACCAATTGATTGAGAAAAAAAAAATTGTCACCACATTTGATCCGACAAACAACAAAAAAAGTTATTAAAATATTTTTATTTGTCTCATTATAAGCCATTCAAACACAACACAACAAATCTAGTCAACTATAAATCAAAATGTAAGTCAAAATTTTATTTTAAAAAATTATAATTAAATGTTTAATTGTATGCATTGTTTGTACGTTTGTGTGTGTGTGATTACTATGAATGCTATAAAACTCTATGAATTGTCTCCTTTATCTATGTCTTTCGGCAGCAGTTAGTCTGGCCAGTCGTGTGGTGTCCGCCCGTAATCACCAACAAAAAAAACAGTCAGTCAGTCAGTCAGTCGTGTAGGAGTAGTCGCCGGTTTTGTGTTGAAAAAGTTGGCCACCAGTGGTGCTCGTGTAGTATATGCTCTGTCGACCTAATCAAACACACCGACACACATAGTCGACAGCCCCACCTATCATAAGGTGATAACAACAGGAAAGTCGTCTGCAAAAAGAGAGAGAGAGACAGTCAGTCAATAGGTATAGCTATAACCAGTACACACACATACATACTGTATACATACCGTCACCTCCTTTCTGCTAAAAAAACTGATACGCTATATACTGTCTGGTTCTGGTGCTCTGGTGTTGGTGTGTGTGTGGGAACCACCCCATTATGTTAATGTCATATGACGTCAGCCGATCGTCTTATTGTGGCGAAACGTACGCTACATTGACTACCATTGCCGACAATATGGCCGCTATGTCGCCGCAGCAGCAGCAGCATCACCATCAACAGCAACAACAAGTGGTCAATGGTCACCCCTCTCATGAGCACCATCAACAGCACCACCATCACCATCATCAACAACAACAACAGCACGACCAGCACATACACCATCAACAGCAACAACACCACCACCAACAGCACCGACACCAACAACATCATCAGCAACAGCAACACCAACAGCTGGTGGCCGCAGCCGACGGCAGTGTCGGTGTGGCTGCCGTTGTGGTCGATGGTGGCCACGAGCTCAGCCCGAATAAGCGGGCCATACATCACCCGGGTATGTGTGAGCCCTCTATAATATATCTCTATCTTTAATAGTAATTAATTTATACCTAATTATAAAATAGGGGGAAAAAATTTTTTTATATCATATTATTAATACTGTAATAGTAAGCAATACTATTACTACTACTACTAGTAGTTGTAATAATAATAATAATGTTTATCATTGATTCAGACATTTTCTGTACAAACACTTAAAAATATATATAAAATTATTGTATAAAATAAATGTATGTTTTATATACATATCATATATTTATTTTATAATTTAAATAATTTTAATTATAATAATTAGTATCAATACTTTTAGATTAATTATTTTATTAAAAGATTTTATTTTAACATTTTTTTTATTGACAACAAATATTTTCATTAAATCTATCCATACGTTTCTCAATATATATATAGTGTATTGATTTTGGTTAACAATATATATTGGATGTAATGTTAGACATATTTATTATAATAATATACAGTATATATAACATTAGATTTTGTTGTTGTAATTGTAATGTTTTCTGGTTGTTTGACATCTAATTTAGATCAACAAAAAAAATCATATATATATAGTTTCAAGAAATTTGATACATATATATATGTAAATATATGTGTTTTTTTTAAAAATAATATACGATTAGCTAACTAAACGAAACTATAATATTAAAAAAAAAATAGATAAAATCAAATTGATTTTACTTTATATATTTAGATTTATAATGCAAAAAAAATGTATGAATGAAATTGAATTTTATTTATTTAAAAAAAATAAGACAATATCATTGATTAAGACAACTATAATAATAATAATTGATTTATTAATTTTTCTCGGAAATGTCTAGTAGTAGTAGTAGTGATTATTACCTAATTATTAGATTGTTTTTTTAAATAAGTTTTTTTTCAGTCAATTTTATTTATTAGACTCAAAAAAAATTATATAAAAAGTAATAAATTTTTAAAATAGTGTTTTTTTAGTAATAATATTAGTATACTAGTAGTAGTAGTACTACTAATAATATATACAATTAAAAAGTAATGGAAATAAATCTAATAAATAATTGATGTCATATAATAATAATAATACTAATAATAATAAAATAATCGATTTATTCAATGAGGATAATTGACTGAAACTTTATATATAATATATATATTATTTTATTAGTTAGTTATTTCTCTCTATTACTGTTTGTTTGTTTTTTATCTATATATTTTTCAAAACGTATGGTTATGGTTACAAAATTGGTTACAATTATTATTATTAGTAGTATTATATATATATATGATGACTTTAAAATAATATAAAAAAAATCATAACACAACTAATATAATACTATATATATATATATATATTTTTTGTTGATGAAAATCAATCAATTGTATAGTCCGTTACTAATGTAATTTAAAATGAGAGAGAAAAAAAATAGTATATATATATTATATGAAAAATGATATATTATATAATATATTAGTTAGTAATGACTTTTTTTAAAAATAATAAAAAAACAAATATTTATTTTTATTGTGTGTGTGTTTGATCGGTTTGGATAGGATATTGAAATTAGTAAGTTTCCTCTGAAAAGTTGCTTAATTTTTTTTTAAAAATTATTTTTTTTGTGTGTCTGTGCATGCTGATTTTATACCTAGATAACTTTTTTGTTAGTTGAGATAATTTTTAGTGATATACATATATGTTTAGATACTAGTATTTTAGTAGTTACTAAAAAAAAATATTATCTATTTTTTGTTTGTTTAATAATTTATATCAAAATTATAATATTTATAAAATTTACATAGTTTTACAAAAATTAAAAATTATTTTTAGACGTAAATTATGAATATATTTTTTGTTATGCTATTTAGTTATATATATATAAATATTTATTATCTATCTAGATCAATTAGTTTCAATAGTCGGGTATAAATTATAAATAATTTGTAAAGCCATAGATAAATAGTTAGATAGATAGATGGTGGTCCAATAGCTCCCGTTCCTCACTATATGTGTAGAAATATATAATTTTTTTTTTTTTGAAAAGTTAGAAAACCGGAAAAAGTGATATCATATATATATACTGCATATATAAAGTTAAAAATATTTATTTAAAAAAAACTACTTTTAAAATATATAAAATTACTACTGTGTATATGTGCTAATATTATAACTACATGTTTTCATATGTGTGAATAATTATTTTTTAATTTTTTAAAAAAAAATAGTTATCGCATTTTTGTTAATACTAAATTTTTTTATAATGATAAAAAAATTGCAATTGTTTTCAAAATATACACACAAATTAATCTTTTACATTATTAGTAGTATTATTGTCTATATATCAATAAATTGCAATCAAATAGTTTTAAAAAAAAAATTATTTTTTTTGCATTTCTCAATAAAAAAAAACTTGAGTACAAAAATTAACTATAGATTTGTTTCACTGTCACTGCAATAAAAATACTACTACTACTTAGCAAGTTTTGAACTGGCATTTAAATACATGTATATATATATATATACTGTATATGTTTTTATTAAAAAAACCTACATGAGCTGTGTGCCGGGGGTAAATACTCTGATCTATTACTACATATGTTGGGGGGTTAGCACTAAATGCCGGTCTTATAACTAGAAAAATGTGTAATATTTGTAGTGTAATTTCTCTACTATGTGTATGTATGTATGTGTGTGTGTGTGTGTGTGTGTGTGTGTGTGTGTGTGTGTGTGTGTGTGTGTGTGTATGTATGTGTGTTGTATGTAATGTGTGTGTGTATGTATGTATGTATGTGTGTGTGTATGTGTGTGTGTGTGTATGTATGTGTGTGTGTGTGTATGTATGTGTGTGTGTGTGTATGTATGTGTGTGTGTATGTGTAATGTTGTGGTTCACGTAATATATATATATATCTGGGGTATTGCTCTCTATCTCTCTCTCAGGTTTTAATAATGTCTATGTGTTCAGCGCATAGACACAACTATTCTGGGGCTAAAAAAGATGTTTTTAGACGACTTTCCTCGTAATTCCAGTGATTTCAATGTATACAGAGAGTCCCCTTCACACAACTGAGTCTATCCTATCTATCTCTAGCTTTTTTGGCTACACATAGTGGTGTGTGTGTGTATGGAGTCTCCAATCAATGGAGTCCAACTATATTGACAGTGATTAAGAAACTTTAAATTTTTAATAATCGCTGGCCAACCTAACCCCAGCACCCAGTGATATAGCACACTATATATATATATATATATAGTTGATTGGACTGACCATATTTTTTCTCTCTTTCTCTCTCTCTCTGTTAACTCTCATTGCAGATGGTGTACAACAGTTCTGGTTGAGTAGTGAGCAAATGAGCTATTCTCCAACATCACCGCCAGGTAAGCCCTACTACCAATCTACCTGTCCTCTAGATATCTATCGTATCTATCATAGCATATAGCCAACCGCCCGGACCCGTTAAGCATATCGGGTTTAAAACTATGTTTAAACTAAATTTAAAGGGCCGATCCCCACATACAGTACTACAGTACATACATACATAGCCATTATATTTTTTATTTAATAGGATGTATATGTATGTACAGCAATGAGATATACTGTATGTATATGTGTACAGTATATGTATGTATGTATGTATTATATACCAGACAGTTGTAGTCAAGCATATTGTAGTTGATTTAAGTGTGTGTTAATACATAATAATATCTCTCTAGTGATTGAATTATATATATATATATAAATATATATTAATATTATAAATCAGATTTAAATGACAGGACATGACCTTCAGCAGCAAACACACAAAAAAAAATAAAAAATAAAAAATAAATAAATATCACCTCAAATAGGTCTCTATGGTATGGTATGTATATATATGTGTGTGTATATGTATAGACACACTTATATATATACATATTATATATATAATTATAAATTATATTATGAAAGTAAAAAAAAAAACCTGAAATCCATTCGCCAATTAAGACATTTTCTGTTAAAAAATAATTTATTGAAACATATAGTCAGTCCATTAGAAACGCATCACCGATTCATTTACTTATTCATATATATATATTTATAAATAAATAAAACCGATTGATATATAGATAGATATGAATGGTATTAATATTTGTTTGTTGGCCTCTCTCTCTCTCTCTCATATATATATATATATATATATATCTAATGATGTCTTTATTATAGGTGTAAACAATGGTCAAAATTATCATTTTAAAATACTGGTGCCTGCAGTGGCCGCCGGAGCCATCATTGGCAAAGGCGGCGAAACTATAGCTCAACTACAGAAAGACACTAATGCCAGAGTAAAGATGTCAAAAGCCAACGACTTCTATCCGGGTATGTGTTGTCGTTGTTGTTGTCATCGATCGGATGGTTGGGTTGTTTTTGTTTTACTAATTAATTGCTTAATTACACAAACACTTGTAGGCACTACCGAACGGGTATGTCTGATATCTGGCTCAGTGGATGGAGTGCTTCGGATACACGAATTTATTATGGAAAAGATTAAGGAGAAGCCCGACCCGAACGCCAAGATAGCCATCGATTTTGATCACAAACAGCCCGCAGAACGAGAGAAACAAGTACTGTATTACCAACCTATTAGTAGTACCCGATGTCGACAATTGTGTCCTAATTATTAATCAAATGATTGATTGTCTCCCATATTAAAACAACTGTAGGTTAAGATACTGGTTCCTAATAGTACGGCCGGTATGATAATCGGAAAGGGCGGCAGTTTTATTAAACAAATCAAAGAAGATTCCGGTGCTTACGTACAGATCTCGCAAAAGTCAAGAGATCACGCACTGGCCGAACGATGTATAACAGTTATCGGCGAAATTGAAAACAATAAGAAGGCCTGTGCAATGATAATCGCCAAAATTGTTGAAGACCCCCAATCGGGTAGTTGCCTAAATGTTAGCTACGCCGATGTAACGGGTCCGGTAGCCAATTTCAATCCGACCGGCTCGCCCTATGCCAATGCCGGCAACAACAGCGGCGGCAATTCAGCCGTTACCAACAGTAATCCAAGTTATAGTTCAAACGGTAGTCTGAATAGTCTGAGTCCGACGCTGACCAACAGTTTTAATAGTCCACAGAATACGGGTACGCCCGGTATGATGGGCTTCAGTGTCAATCCGGCCGTTTCATCCGGTAATCCGGCGCAGATGATCGAAAGTTTGAGGGCAATGTTGCGAAGTTGCGGCTACAACGAGGACGCTGTACAAGAGATATGTTCGGCAATGAATACATTGGCCAACTACGGTATGCTGGGTCTCGGACTGGGACTCGGCGGCCAGTTGTTCAACTCGGTAAACGGTGCGCCAATGATCGGCAGTCTCAGTATGGGTATGACTGGCCAGCCGAACAACTGTGGCATTCAGATGGGCGGCGTTCAGCCCCAGCAAAGTGCAACTTTATATACGTCTCAGGCTACGGGAGTACCCGGTCTCGACCAGCAGGTGTCCTGCAACAGTGTTAATCAGCAGACGCCGGCCGGAAGCGGTAGCAATGGTATGTTCGGACCGGTCGGTTCGGTCGGCAGTAGCATATCAGGTATGGGATTGAGTCATACGGGTTTTGGTTCGCCAACTGGCGGCGGCGGCGGTAACCGACAGGATCGGCTGCAGATGCCGGACGGCGCTATATTCGATCCATTTCGTCGCTCATCGCCATCATTAGGTTCACCTGTAACCGGTCCGTCGCAGGTTGGCGTAGGAGTAGGAGTACCGACACCGTTGCCCATCAATAATAACTCATTCGGTTTGGGAACTGGCCTGCATAGTCCCGGTTCGCTGCGCAAGAGTCCCACACCGACCGATCAGTCAGAGGGTTCGGCCAAAATCGAAGTGGAAATCGGCGACAATATTGTCGGTGCAATACTGGGCCACGGTGGCAAATCGCTGGTCGAAATTCAGCGGCTATCGGGAGCCAACATACAGATATCGAAAAAGGGCATATTTGTTCCGGGCACCCGCAATCGTATTGTAACCATTACCGGATCGGCCAGTGCCGTCCAGACGGCCCAGTATCTGATTGAACAGCAGATTGGCGAAGAGGAAAACAAACGTGCCCGACAAAATACAACACTGGGCACTGTCCTACGCTAGTAGGTGTGTGTAGGTGTAGGGGCTGGACACCAACCAACCTATTGATGATGATGACGACGACGATGACACCATTACCACTCCATACACCTAACTTTTTTTTAGACTATATAACGACACATACATACATACATATAATTAAATCACACACACAATCGGATCATCTAATAATTTGAGAGTAAAATCTATTAGTATAGACACACACACACAAACACATAGACACACATACAATACATTTATAATTAAATTACGGTAAATTAAATACAGTTATTAAAAAAAGTACTTTTTAGCCGATATAAAATCAATTGAATCGATTTAAATATATATATATATATATACTCTATATATATATATATAAATTATTATATAACATAATTGTTTACATATATATATATATATATAAATATTATTGTTTGTTATCATTTTTAATGAGATGTAAAAAAAACTAATGAAATAATTGATTAATTAATTAATTATTTTAATTCAACTGATCTACAGATCTGTAGTGAGAGAGTGCCTCTGCATTACATTATAATTATTATATAATTATTATTAATATTATTAAAAAACACACATTATTATTATTATTATTATTGTCAAACAAACATACATTATATTGATATACACAATAGCCCACTCCTCCACCACTAACACCACCACCACAACAACCACCACCACTTCAAATAACCATAACTATCACACCATAAATAAGACATCTCTTTATAGGATATAATATATATATATATATATATATGACGACATTGTCTAACCATATGTTAATTTATATTATATATATATATATATATGTATAGAAAGAGAAATAGATAGAGAGACTGAGAGTGAGATAATATTATTATTATTATATATATATATATAGACATCAATTTTCAGCGACATTTTAACTATTAAACAAAAAATTTCTTATTATTCCTCTTTTTTAAAAAAAATAATTCAATCAAACAAACAATTCAAATCAGATTTTCAGATACCATATTTGATTCACACATTATTACTATTATTATTATAATAATAATTATTATTATTATAAAATATCGCAGGCATTTGTTGTTATCCCCACATTTTTTTTATAATAGACCACTTTAATCAATTGAAAGATAAAAAAAATACTTTAATTAATATTTATATATATATATATAACAACTACTACTCTGAACATTGTGTATAAAAAAAAATCTAAATATATATATATATATAACGAAACGATTTATCAATTTTCAACAAACAAACACAAAAATCACATCAAGTTTTTTTAAGTTTAATTCTATGAGAAAACATTTACATTATTAGATATATATATATATATATTTAAAAAAATATAGTTTAAATGAGAATCTAATTTAATTTAATTAAGTAAATGATGAATGCATTTGGTTGTCATTTGTCAACTAAACTATTATTATTATTAAGACAATGAAATTTATATATATATATATATGAAAAAAAATAAATAGGAATAATGGGATTATAATTATTAAAATTATATAAATTATTATTATTATTATTATGATTGACAAAAACAACAAAACTAAATCATGAAAAATTCTAGTAAATATTATTATTATTATTATATACATAAAAACAAAATAAAAAAATATAGTTTTAATTATTTATAGTTAAAAAAAATCAAATTACATTTTTGAAACAACAAAAATTATATATATATATATATATTTAAGGAAAGGGTTTTTAAAGAACTTCATTAATAGTTAAATTAATTAATTAATTAATTAATTAATTAATTAATTAATAATTATTATTATATATTAATTGGTATTTTTAAAAATCTATTTGCTTTTCGTGTGATTTAACTGCCGATCAATGGCTCAAACATACTGTTTTAATATGAAAAAAATTAATTGTTTTTTTCTGAATTTTAATTATTATTATTATTATGATTATTATTAATATAAATGATATTTACATTTAATTATTATGAAATTATTGTCAAAATATTTTAGAAACAAATTAATTTAAAATATATAATATTTATATATTATTATTATTATTATTATTATTAAATAATTATTGCTTAAATGATTATACTGTTATAAATCTTATGTTATAGTGTTTTCTGCTTTATATATATATATATATAAAAATAATTATATATATTATATATTTAATTATATCATGTAATAATATAATTAACTAATTGTGCAAAACTAATTTGTTTTTTAAAAATTTTTAACAAAAAAAATATATGAATTAATGCTTAAAAATCATTAATGAAATGGTATATTATAACAATACATATATATATATTAATTATATACACTGTATATTAGGGATGCTTTTTGTTGAATATAAGAGTAAATATATATATATAATGAAAAACACTACAAACAAAAAATTAATAATTAATTAATTATACATTTTTTCAATTTTTACATTATATACATTCAAAATTTGATTATTTAAATGATTAAAAAAATATGTTTTAAATTTTATATTATATTATAAGTATATATACAAACACACACACATTACATAACATTATTTTTAAATTTATAAATATTAAATAATTATTGCGACAACAAATTTGTAAAGTTAAACACATTGAGAACAATTACAACTATATTATTACTAATTAATTAATTAATTGATATTATTATTATTATAATTTATATATGAAATAATTTTCTGGGTATAAAAAACAATTATATATATATATATATATTATATAAATATACGTTACTGTGATATCCGTCAAAACACATTTAAATTTTTGTTTGTTTTTAATTTTTAAAAAATAATAATAACATAACATAACATTTTTCAATCATTTTATTATCGATTATATATATGAGTGGAAGGGATTGAATGATATAATTAATATATATATATATATAATTTGAAAAAAATAATAACATTATTAATAACGAACTTATAAAAAAAATTGTTTTATTATTTATTATTAATTAATATTAAGATTTTATTATTAACTAATTATTACTAACACTACTACTACTACTACTACCACTATTTAATTGATTGCATTTTTTTTTAAATTTCTTAATTATATATATATATAATTTTTTTAAAGCTGGAAATACATACAATAATATCAACAAAAAATACATTTAACATCAACTTGTGATTAAATTTTCAACAAAAAAAACATCATTTAATTCATTATTTTGTAATTTAAATTGTTTTTGTTTTGCTTGTTTTTGTCGTAATATATATATATATAGATATTAATAGTTATATTAAATTAATATTTAATTATTATTATTATTAGTACAGTAGTACTGTATGTATAGCCCATACATACACACCATTTAAAAAACATTTTAAATTTTTTTTAAATGCTTACATATTACCCCCGCCCCCAATGTCCTCCATTTTAAATCAACCTGGCAACCATCAGCACCAGTATCACCCATACCCACCCCCCCTGATCGACCCATTTAAAAAAATCGATATTTATTTGTATAATTTAAATAAATTTTTTATCATTATTATTATTATATTATAAAAGGCTATCAATATCTCGTAAAGGCTCATAAATATTGTGTTGAAACAAACAAACAAAAAATCAAATCAATTATAATAATGTAAACTTTGAAACATTGAAACAAATGGGGAAAAAAAATTTCAATTCAATTTTTTTTAAGGTAAATACTATCGAAATTGTTTCCGAGTTATTATATAAATTATAATATATATATATATATTATATAATGCATTAGTGATATTGTTGCACACACACACACACACACACATAATTTACACATACATACAAACATATTTTTAAAATTAAAATAATAATTGATTTAATTATTATCATTATGGTTGCGCTGGCAAACTTGAAAATTCATCGAAAATTTTAAAATAAAAATTTTAATTAATTAATTGAATAATAATAATTAATGTATTGTTTTTTTTAAATAATGTTTGTTTAAAGTTTCGTATGATTTCCTAAAAGTAAAGGTATTATATAATTGGCAAAAAAAATCAGTGATTTATTTATTTTCCCAAATAAATTGATTATTATTATTATTATTATAATTATATATAATAATAATCAATAAATGTTTAGTCATTTAAACACATAATAAATTATTTTTTTTATATATTTAAAGGCAAACCATATGCTTATACAGTGTATATATATAGGATAATCATTATTATAAGTTATATAACTGTATATTATTGATGAGCTAACTATTTATGTATGCAATTGACAAACAAACAGGCAATCAGTTTATCAAAGCAGCAGTTGTTGACTACAAATAATAATAATAATAATAATAATAATAATTTATTGAAAAGGATACATAAGCCCAGTAATACATGTATTTAGTAGTATATGTAGTGATGATCCCTGAGCTAGTAGTAGTAGTAGTAGTAGTACAGTAGTTGTCGACACCGACACATACACATACACACGTGTAGCGGTAGTAAATGAATGAAAACACACACATTTTTATTTTAGGGCTGTCCCCATATTTTTATCACCCACCCCTTTATTATTTTTGTTAAATTGAAAAAATAAAAGCACATGCACTTTACATGCCAAACACCATTTAAGGCACTTATAGCCCATGCGCTCCGGTATGTATGTTACATAGACATACAGTATGTGTGTGTGTGTTCATAGGGGGTGATTATACCCCACCCCCCATTTGGACGGGGATTTTTACTATACGTTTAGTTTATTTGTATTTTGTGAATGAAATTTTATTTGTTGTTGGCTTTTATTATACAGTATTACTACTACTACTAAACACCAATACATTACGTAACTTATAGATTGAAAATGTGTTTCATTATACTGTATATACAGAGTATTGTTATGTTATATAATAATAATAATAATAATAAATCATATATCATATTATGATATTTAATACAATATACAGTAATTATATATATATATATATATATAAAAAAAATTGTTTTATTATTTTTTTATATATCATATTATATCAATAGTTTTTAAATATATATACGTTTTCAACAATTTTATTATTTTATAATAAGTAATAATAATTATTATTATACTTTAAATTGAAAATAATTATCATATATTTAAATATAACACCAAAAAAAAAAGTTTATAAACAAAAATGTTTAGCACACGTATGTTTAACTGCACGTGCAATTGACTGCACGTACGCGCGCGCGCGTGCATGCAATGGGCCGCACGTATCGCAGACGCCGTCGCCGTCGCCGCTGCCGACCACTGACGGCGACCATCAACACTGGCGATGACCACCAGAAAATACGATCGTTGATTGGTTGGCTACGAAATAAGGACCGACGGCTGGCCGTTGGCCGGCAGCGATCAAAATTTATGTCATCGGCCAAACTACGGCCGCATCGGTTTGCCAGTACTGGACGCGGACTTCAGTGTTGTCGACGGCAGCACATCGGCGCCGGTCAGCTGTTGCTAGCGATTCCCATCCAATCGATGATCACACGAAACACTGTACTCGACGATAGTCCTGACCTACCAATTGATGGCCGGCGTCGTCGGACAGAGTTATCGGACGTTGAATTGTTGACCGCATGGATCTATTGGGAACGTCAGAAAGCCGAGGCCAGCCATTGGTCGGACTATTTTCAATCGCTGCCCGACCGTTTCGATGAGTTGCCATACATGTGGCCCAATGTCCAGGATATTTGCCGATCGTTGCCCGTATCGTTGGCCACCGAATTGATGGCCGCACGCAACACATATCGGCGATCGATGGCCAAAGTGTTTGACGAGTTAGGCCTCTGTCTTCTTGACAACAATGACGACAACGACGAGCAGCGGCTATTCAACTGGTCGTTTGGTGCGGTCAACACACGATGCGTCTATTTGGACACCGATGACTGTTCCCGAAGCTGTGCCCTGGCCCCGTTCCTCGACCTGCTCAACCATTCGGCTACGGCCAAAGTGACGGTCACCGTCAACCGCGACAACAACCAGTCGTACGAAATCTATACCGACTGCCACTATCGGCCCTACGATGAAGTATTCATCAGTTATGGCAATCACGACAACCGATTTCTATTCATTAACTATGGTTTCTGTTGTTTCGGTGATACCGGCAATAATAGTTTGGCCAATGATTCGATACCCGTTAGCTATAGACAAGTACGGGATGTGTTGTTGGACAACAATAGCAACAACAATATCTCCGATAGACAACAAGTGATGTCGCGTTTGAAGACACTGTTGAGGTTAGACTTTTGCAACGAACGACAAGTCTATTGGCTTCAGAGCCAGTCGTTTGATTGGCGTTTAGACATTATCCTGCGTTTACTATCACTGAATAGCTGGTCCAACGATACGACAGTCAAACAGTGGATATATAACGCCGACGGCGGCGCCGGTGGTGGTGGTGGAAGTGTTGAGCTCGACATAGACGAAGACATTGTCTATCGTAGACTTAAGCGATCGATTGTCGACAGTCTTATCAGTGAATACGATATCAATGTCACAAATGAATGGTCATTATTAGGTGATAATAGAGGCAATGATTGTCTGAAACAATTGCTTAGCAATGAGTTTGCAATACTATCGGCATTTCTAACCGATTTATAGGGTTAAGTAAAAAAAACTTTTTTAGACAAATATTTTTGTGTAAATAAATTAATAATTTAATTAATTAATAATAATTATTATTACAAATCTATATATAAATTTCATTTTTGATTTTTTTTAATCAATACTTCAATCATTTTTTTATTATTTATTATTTTTTTTGCATACAAATTGTTTGAAAAACAATAACAACAAAAATTACCGTAAGTTTCACTTAAAAAATAAATAATAAAATTAATCACCAATTAGTTGATGTGTAAAATAAAATAAAAATCATTTTTTTTAAGTATTTTAAAAGTTAATTTTTTAAAAAAAATCTCTTCAAAAAATAATATATGACTACAATTTATATTATTATTATTATTATTATTAGATTATATTATACAATAAAATATGAATGACTGGAATGTCTATAAATTTAAGTATTTTTTTTGTTGTTGAATTGACTTATTTTTAATAATAAAAAAAATGAAATGTATTTTTTAAAAAAAATGTATTAATTGTGTGATAATTGTTTTGATAATTTCCATCATCTCTAATGATTAGACCAATTGATACCCTCGAAGAACGGATGTGTTGTTATCTCTTCAGATCCGTGTCGTCCCAATCGTTCGCTAGGATTCGGCTGAAGTAACTGTTTAGACAATAATCAAAAATCAAATGATAAAAAAATAGGATATTTAAAATCAAATCATTAGTTTTTTTATTGTATTAATTAATTAATTAATTAATTACTTTAGTTATCAAATCTTTGGCTTCAATTGATATAAAGGCCGGAAAGTATAGTGTCGTATGACTAGTGATACCGTTTGGATGATATGAAACCAATGACTAAAAACAAATATATAAAATAATAATTATTTTACCGTAAACTATAGGTTAGCCAAAAAAAATTTATTGTTTGTTTGTTTGTTTTACATACCCGTGCCGTCAATAGTTCGTAAGCTACGACACCGAATGACCACCAATCGCACAGATGGCTTACTTTTTCCGATTTCATCAGTTCGGGTGCCACATACAGCCGCTCTCTGGCCAACTCGTCGATGGAATTCTGTGGCGATTCGTCCCAAAAACATTTATAGGTAACGCAAACATTGTTGTCATCGTTTAGTAGTAGATTATCGGGATTCAGATCGCAATAAACGGCACCCAATTTATGCAAATGCTGTAAACAGCGGACAACTTGCGACAGCCATAGTCGGGCTTCCGATTCGCTGACCAGCGGTCCATCAGTACAACAGCCGTTGCTACCGCTGTTAGAAGTATTGTTGTCATCCATTTGATGAATAACTTCAGATATAGGCGTCTTATTCTTCTTAATCTTCTTGTTGTTGTTGATCTTCAACGACTTAATCATCTGTTTTTGTGTCGACAAATTAGTTGATGATAACGATAGCTCTGATTTGGATCCGCGCAGATGATCACTGAATGGTGTCGTCGTTGTCGTCGTCGTCGGTGCCAATGATGTCGACGACAAGTATTTTTGACTTAAATTTTTCGACACATATTTCGATAAATTTAATGTCTGATCGACATTCCTGAGTAAACTCTTGGCTCTCGTCAATAGACTGGTTATACCCATGTTTTCGATAGATAATTGTCTAATCGGAGGTCGACTGAGTGAATGACTGGTCATAATGTTTGATGAGTTATTGTTGTTGTTGTTGTTATAGGGATTGGCATTTAGTGAAGGATTGGGATTATGATGACTGAGACTATTATTATTATTATTATTATTATTGTATGAATCGTTATCATAATCTTCGGTTATGGAGTCGATGCTGTCGATTGAATCGGAAATGTGGCCTAACTTGCAGTTGGCCAGTGAACTGGTCGGTTGTTGCTGTTGTTGTTGGGGACATCTCTGCCGTTCCAATGCATAGTTATGGCACAGATTTACATAGCTTTTCGATGGCAAGTCATAATCAATTGAATCAATACTGGCCAAACTGCCGCCCGACGGTGATCCGCCACCGGACGATTCGTCCATTGAGTCGTCGGATGATCGGTGGCGAGCCATTCGTTCGCTGATCGGTTCAAAGACACTATTGTTGTTATTGTTGTTCACATTATTCTTGAATTTGTTGCCACAGCCAACAGATCCGTATTCGGAACAAGTTCTCGATATACGGCGTCCACTGTAGGCATTATCAGCAATCAGTTCGTAGTCTTTATCGTCGATACCGCCGCCTGCGGCGGCAAACGTACAGTCAGGACAGGGCGATAGACTACGCGAACCATTGGCCGACAGTAGCCGATCCCATAGTCTACCACCTTTTGCGTACTCGAGTAGCAAATAGATGGCGTAGTCGGTCTTGAAAATTCGGTAAATTTGTACCATAAACGGAATGTCGTTCGGAAAAATACTTTGCGGCACTGATAGCTGATTGGGAACCATCGATGATTGTTTGTACGGGTAGTTAGATTTGTAGACAACTTTTATGACAAACTTGCGATTATTGTTGGTCGTGTCCATCACTATCTGTACTCTACTACTACTACTACTGTTGTTGTTGCTGTTGCTGCGGCCGCCATCGATACCGCAGACACGATATTTGATCAGTTCGTCGGATGTACCGAACCAGCTCTGTATGAGTGATGCATTTAACGATTTAAATGGACTGTCCTATTGAGACGGGAGAGGGGATGGTAACGGATTTTTTTGGTTAAAGATGAATGAATGCATGAATGATATCAAAAAATGATAACAATGTAAAAAAATCAATTCTAAAATCCAATGATGAAAAACATGCAATTTTAGGTGATTTAAGTGATTAGATGGTCACAAAAACACATACCGGTGCCCATCGACGGCTCGGCTGCTGATGCTGTGAACTATCCGACAAATATGTATCAAAGATATGTTCAGCACGTGTCAGATACTGGAAAGTTTTTCGTCTAATCGATGCCTTCTTTTCCGTATCCAATTCGTCGACCACTCCCTGCAATAGTATACCGACGGCACACTTGTACGACTCGAATGCCGGCTCCCATTCACCGGATTCTTCGTGCTGTTGGGCCTGACGTAAGATAATGGCCGCGTCTAACAGATAATTGTCCGACGAAACAGCTGTCGACTCATTGTCGCCATCGACGACAACAACTATCTTATTATTATTATTATTATTACAGTTGTTATCAATTGAAGGATTGATGGTCTGACCACTAGTAGTAGTAGTAGTAGTAGTACTACTTTGATTGACATTATCGTTACCGTCATCTTCGTTAAGATGATCTGAATCACATGATATACTAAATTGTTTAACAAATATATCAGTGGGTATGTCGTCAAATGTCTTTATTAAATTCTTGACATTTCTAGCACTTCTATCATCATTACCGACATCGACATCATCAGCATATGATTCTTCAACAACATTATTAATTTTGTTGATCACATCTTTGTTATTATTATCACAATTATTGCGATTATCGGCTGCCGATGGCGTTGATGGCAACGACAGCTCTTTATTCTTAGTGTTTTGATTGTCATTATCATCATTGACGGCAACAACGACGGCCAACTTCGGATGATTGGTAGGTGAGAATAGCCAATCATTAGTAGACGATGATTGACAATCATCATTATTATCATCTGTACATGACTTTGGATTATCACTACCATTGGCCAATGGATCAAATTCTGTTAGATTATCACTAGTATGTCGATTAGCCGAGTTTTGATTGTCCGCCGCTGCCGTCCCTGTCGATGGTTGGCAGAGGTGGTTGTTATCCATAGTATGGACGGGAGTTGAATAAACACTTGTACTACCATTGCTTGTATTATCGTCATCGTCACCATCAACACCACCATCACCACCACCGGTGCGATAACTACTACTAGCAGTGCCGTCATCGCTAAAACTAAGACTCGGTTCCAATGGTTTCGGTAGATCATTGATGTCCGCGTCATCGGTAATGTGACTATCTATGGAAACAATGTTGTTGTTGGCGGTGGTGGTGGTGGTAGTGGTGGTAAAGTTGGTTACCGAGTTGTCGAAAAACTGGACAAACACTGTACTGGTAAACAGTACAGTATGTTTGGCCGCAAACTCTAGTAGTTCGAGTGCCGATCGACGCCTGGTTTCGATGACGTCGGCATCGAAACGGCCAAACAATTTTGAATCGGGAAAGTCGGGAAACATGCCTTTCAGATGCAACGACTGATGCAATTGGCCGAGAGTTTTGTGCAAACGTTTGAACTCCGAATAGCGTTTATAGGCAACCAGTTCGGTAATACCGTCCGTTGATGACCGATGATGAACACGGCTGACCACTTTGTAGACAGTGTAGCCTTTCTGGGGATGTCGACAGGGATCTGTTACGTTAAACTGTCTGATCCAACCGTCATCGTCAACATTGATAGCGGTGGCAGCGGTGGCGGCGGCTTTGTTGGTCATCATTGTTGCTGTCGGCGGCCGGTTGGGAGACCCGATGTCTGGACACTAACTAACTGATTGATCACTTGAACCGATGGATCACTTCATTCGTCCGATGAGTTGATGGTTTTGATTGTGTTTTTTCTTGCGGTGACAACACTTGAGTTGTTTGTGTTTGTGTTGTGTTTGTTATGTAAAGTATGTTATGTTATGCTATGTATTGAACGCCCACTCAAATACAGTACAACATTATTACAGTATTATTAAAGTACAGCAATAAAGTCAATTGACTTTTTTTACATATGACATATACAGTACAGTTGCAGTGTATTTACTATAATGTATTAAGTTATAAGGTTTACTATTATTGATTGATTTATCTATAAATTAGTTTTTAGTTTAATTATAATTTTTTTGTTGATTTTTTTTTGATAGTTGAATCAAATCAAATACTTTACAAGTTATAAACAGTGTATAAAGTAATTAGTTTTAATTATCAGGGTGATTTATTTTATTTTTTAATTATTTGTTAATGATGATAAAACTTTTTTTAATTTATAAAATAATTAATTAATTAAGTTTTTTTCTCACAATCAATTAGATTAATTAATTAATTTTTGTTGTGATATAAAATTAAAAATATTAAAAATATTAAAAATATTAAATATTTTATAATAATAATAATAATTCGGCATCCTGACTTTTACTAAATTATAAAAAACTTAATTTATAAATATATTGATAATATTATTGATTGAATTAAATTATTACAGTTTGCAAACAAAATATAAAATAAAATAAATGACATTTTTTGATATACAGGGGTAAAGTTGCAGTATTTTGAATAGTGTTATAAATTGTACCTGATAATAAAATTAAATTAAAAAAAATAATTAATAACTAATTAATTAATTTTTTTCAACAAAAACAAATAAATAATTAATTACTTATATATTTTTGTAAACTGTAATGATTTAATTTAATTGATTAATTAAATAGTTTATATAAAAATAAAATATTTAATAAAATTTGAGTTATAGTTTTAGTTTTAACTATTTTTAATAATAATTTAGTAATAAACTTATTTTTAAATTTATTTTTGTTTTATAAATAAAACAAAATTAAAAACTTATTAACCAAAAAAATAAATAAATAATTGAAATTATAAAAAATCATATTCAAAATAATTTATTCAAAAAAAAACATTATCAATAATTAAAAATTACATCAAAATTATAAATATGTAGGTATTTATATAACATTAGATTAAATATTTAATTTTTGATAATTGTTATTTTTTTTAATTAAAAAAAACATCAATTTAATGCTATTTTTAAAAAAATAGTTTATTATAAAAATATATTATTAATATATATATAATAAATATAACAAAAATTACAATATAATAATTAATTTGCAATCATTTTGAAAAAATTTTGTAGTTTTTTTTAATTTTAAATAGTGTGTGAAAAAAAACAAATTATATATAAATATATATATAAATTATTTTTCATAAATTATTATTATTATTATTTACTATTTACTACTTTAAGCGGTCAATGGATTGTTAACGATTCCGGCAAACAATAGGGTACTCTTTTTCGGCTCGTATTTGCTGACCAATAGGAACATAAACGGACGATTGGCCTCAAATGATTCGGGAAAGTCCATCGATCGGGCCATCATTGCAACACCTATTAAGGAAATCGGTATTAAAAGTAAAATCGGTTAAACAATATATTTAGTGGACACATGATTTAGACACATACTGGTAGCTGCAGCCGCTTCGGTACCCTCTTCGTTGACCTCGATGACCGCCTTCTGAAGTACTTCGCCGACATAGAGACCCATCGGATCGGAAGTCATTGCCGAAAAGTCGGCCACTTCCGAATTGAATATATCCTGAATGCCCAGATGGGTCAGTGTCGGTATCAACGGCAATATTGATTCCAACTTGAATTTCGGTAAATAAATGTCCAACTTTTGCGGCGTTAGACTGCCGACAATCTGGCTTAATGTTTCGGCGGTTAACTTGCCAATCATTGATTCCAATGTAACACCGGTATTCGGTAACAGTATCAACATTGCACAGTTACTTTTATCGTAGGTCAGTTCAATAGCCGACAAGTTGAGGTCGTCGTGTACCATAAACGGTACCTTAACCTTCTGGTGCATAGTCGGTACGTCGAGTATATCGTTGCGAGCAGTGGTAAACTTTCTGGGTTTAGTATCTTTGGTTTTGAACGGCGTCTTCCACAGACCCTTGAAGTAGAGGGCATTTACAAGAATCAGTTTCGTAGCCGAATCGATATCGTCGAACAGGGTCTTAATTTTGCCTTTAGTCGCATCGGATACGTCCGAATTGATGGTCTTAACAGCCGATTGTGGCTGTCCTTCGAAGTCAACATCACGGGCTTTACCAGCGAAAGACTGTTCAATCATTTGCCGATAGTCTTTGCGTATCGGATACGACTTATGTGCGTACAAATAGTTGGCCGACAATAGTATACCCGAATTGGCCTTCAAAACGCGATCGACTAGCGAATGATATTCGTTGGCCAACGATTTATAACCGTCGGCCGTATACGACTTGCCTAACAGGACACGCGATAGTTCTTCGCCAGTCCTGCCCCGGGAGCCCATCAACGTCATGGTCAGTGCAGTGGACAACGAAAATGGGGAAAATACTAGATTGCGCGCGGAGTCTTGATTGACTAGTTCGCGGCTAACGGCCAGTGCAAAATCCAACGATCCCGTATCCAGTTGTGATGTCATCTTTGTGGTGGTGGTGGTGGTGGCGGCTGCCGATTGGATTAGTCCAGGTTTGTGAACAATTGTTTTTTGTTGTTGTTGTTGTTGTTGGATTGGATCAGTTGGACAGATGATGGAGAAAAATAATTGAAATATTAAATAATAAATATTTAGATAATTAAAGTTAAAAAATAATTTTTTTAAAAAAACAGTTTCCGGATGAGAGACTAGAGTAGTGTAGGGATAGAGAGATATATACAGTATATTAAGGGATAGACTATTCAATAGATTATTCAATAGACTATACAATGACTATACCGTTATAACTAGTAAATGATTGATTGATTGGTAAATGTATTCAATAAGTTATGGGTTATATAATTGTTAATGAATTGTGAATTGAATTGAATAAAACAATAATATCAGTAATAATACTGTAGTGTATTGAAGTACAGTATGTAATGTACTGTAAATATCATAATAATATGTATGTATATTGAATATCTATATAAATATTATACTGTGTATAGTCTATAATACAATGTACATGCAGTTAGTATTAATAATATATATATATATATATATATATATAACTAAAAGGTAATAAATTTTATTATGCAATATATGTATATATACTGTATATAATGTAAAAATAATAAAACTTACCAAATATGACAATCACTATTAACAGTATATATAATTTTGTTATTAACATTATTTGCTGTTTAATTGTTGTATCATAAAAATATTTTTTGATGAATTTATTTATTTATAGTTTTTTAGTTACAACAAGTTGTCACAGTTATTATCGACACAAAAAAAAACACAGACACACGAAAAAAAATCACACAACAAATATTTTTATGATTTATTAATTAAAACAGATTTATTTAATATTAATATTAATATTAATATTAATATTAATTAATATTATTATTATTACACTTAGACTTATTATGTTTAGATATAAAAAAGTTTTTTTTTGTGGTTCAATTTGTTTGTTTGGTTTATAATTATATATTTTTGAAATTTAAATTTATTTATAAAATGTCATGAATATGGATGTAAATTGACTTTTAATATACAAACCATATTAAAAAAAAATTACACAAATTGTATATCAATTAGTATATATTATATATTTTTTTTAAATTATAAATGTCTGACAAAAAATTAAATATACTCATAAATTTTAAATTAAATAATTATTTATGTAATAAATGTGTTTTTTCACTAAAAAAACCACTGTATATAAAAAAAATCTCTGATTTTTTTTTAAATAATTAATTGAAATGAAAATGAGAAAGAAATTAATTTTTGTTTTAATTAGTTTTCACTTATATAGCATTTTCAACTCATATACAGTAATACTGTATATATATATAAAAGTCAAATACAGTACAATATTGAGAGTAAAAAAATTATTTGCCATATAATTATTAGTTATGTAGTTTATGGGGGGGGGGGGAGAAAACTACACCAAAAAATAAATAAATAATTTTTTTAGGCAACAAAATACTGTATTAAACACAAACAAAAAATTGCTTCAAAACATATTTGAAGGAAATTTCGTATATATATATGATATATACTGTAGAATATATGGAGAAATATATAATTTTAATAAATTATTATATTATATATATAACACACTTTCACTTTTTTTTTTTGTTGAAATAAACTAAACCTAACAAACAAACAACAAAATTAGTTGATAACAGTTTATTATTATTATTACAATAAGTATTATCTAAAACAACAAACAAAAAAAGTTTTATTTATTGATTGGGCGTTGTTTTCATTGAACTATCGGGTGATGATATTATAGTCTTGAAGTCGACAATTTTTGAGACAACAGTCCTAAATAGTTTGTCTTCGATGGTCATCGGCATAAAGTATAGTACAGTATAAAACAGTCGATACAATAGTGAACTACTGATTATATATAATCTGGGATCAGCTGCCAGTACGGCTTCATCGAAGTCGCCAAACAATGCGGACGATTCAATTGATTTTGAACAACTAGTTAGGCCCGTCTTAGCCAATACTTGTCGATGATATTCATGAAAATATTGGCCATACAGTTGACGTTTTGCTGTATCCATACCATCGGACATCATTTCCTGGACATTACGCTGATGGCCAGCCATAATATTTGTATGGCTAGCATAGTCGCCTGGTTTTACTATAATAACTTTGACATCAAATTTTGATAGTTCATTGCGCAGGGAATGGCTAAGGCCTTCGATGGCAAACTTGGAGGCACTGTAGATGGATAAGCCAGGATAGGCTATACTACCATTGATTGAACTAACGTTAATTACACGGCCTATGTATGTGTGTGATGGGAAAGACAGATAAAAAAATTTTAAAAAAAATTAGTATATTTGACAAAAAATACTAATGTTTTTTGTATGTATGTATGTAAGTGTGTTTTGAATGGGAAATATATGCCACCAAAAAAAAATGGGAGGCATATACTGTTGTATATTCAAGGCTATTTGTTTTGAGTTGTTTTAGTTGAAAGTGATGTTCAAATATCTGTGAAATTAATGTTTATTTTATGACTGTCTGTGTCTGTTTGTGTGTGTTTCCCCCCTCCCCCTCACAAATAATAGATATTATAATAGAGAGAGAGAGAGAGAGAGAGAGAGAGAGAGAGAGAGAGAGAGAGAGAGAGAGAGAGAGAGAGAGAGAGAGAGAGATCCCATATATTTAATACAATAAGTGATTGCATGTCAATAGGTTTTTGAGACACAATTTGATTATTATTTTAGTGAAAATGATATTTATTTACTATATATATAAAAATTGTGCCAAATTTTTATTGCTCTAATTTTTCCCCACTTTCTAGTATACAATACCTTATAATAATTTTTTCGGGACTTTTTGTTTGTGACCTAAAAATAATGTTTGTGTACTAACTAAATCATCAATTTATAAATTAGTAGTCTCTCTCTCTCTCTCTCTCTCTCTCTCTCTCTCTCTCTCTCTCTCTCTCTCTCTAATTCACTAACTTTCTAAACAATTTTTTTGATAACTAAATAATAATAATAAATAATAGTAATATACTATTTAGAAAACAAATAAACTTAATGTAGTTTTTTTATAGACTATTTTTTTTGATTGTTAATAATTAAGTTTTTATTAATTAAAAATAGTTTAATAGAGTTGTCGACTAAATATATATATATTTTTAAAAATTATTATTATAAATACCTTGTGTTTGGATAATTAATGGCAAAAATTGTTTGGTAACTCTCATAGTACCCAAAACATTGATATCAATTACTGACTGGATTTGTGTCCACGAAAGCCAATCAAACTCACCCATCAAACAAACGCCCGCATTGTTTATCAATGCATATAAACCTAAAAATAAATTAAATTAAAATTAAAATTAAAAAAAAACAATAAATAATTTTAATAATATTAATTATAAATCTATATTATATTATATTACAGTAATTTAAATTTTGTATAAATTTTTATATAAAAATCTATAGCAATAATAATAAATAATTTAGTTCTGAAATTAATGCTAATAATAATAATAATAATAATAATAATAAAGTTTTAATATTATTTTTTTTAAATGAAATAATGCTATATAATAATAATAATAATACTTATTATAATTAATTTATTGTATTTTTATTATTTGATCAAATTTATTATTCAATATATTACTGTATTTGTTTGTAATCTAAAATATCAAACATTTAAAAAAAAAATTAAAATCAATTTTATAATTATTATCAAATTGTTTAATTAAATTATCGGATAATTCAAAATTGGTATTATTTTAAATTATTTGTTAAAATAAATTATGCTATTATTCATAATTTAAATATACATGTTGTTACTATGCAATTAAAAAAAAAATTGTTTACTAACTTTTATAATACCAAAATATATAAAACAATTACTTATTATGCATAATAACTATTTATTATTATTACTAAACTATTAATATATATATAATTTACAATAAAATTAACTATTTTTTGAATAACATTTTCAATAACTAGCCGGTAATCCCTTAATATATAATTGAATTAAAAACATAAACTTAAAATACTTGAAAGTTATTTCAAATGAAAAAAAATTATATGTTTCAATATTACATTTGAAACAACAACAAAATAAATAGTATTTATACATTAATTTACTTAAATAGTTTGCTATTTACAGTAATTTTTATGTTGAAAATACTTTAATAATAATAATAATTTTAATATAGCCTTAAGGACTTGTAATTATTTTTATTTTAAAAAAGTCTAATTTTAGATAAAAACTTTAATTTTATTATTAGGCTCTCAAATGATTGAATGAATGGGAAAAAAGAGGACACAAACAAAAAAATATATGCCATAAAAATGTATATTAAATATAAATTGTAATTTTAAAAATAAAATTATATAATAAATGATTAATTTAATTAAAACTAAATTAAATTAAAAGTGAATTTTGAATATCATTTTTAATTAAATAAATTAAAACAAAATAATTTTTTTTTTTTAAATCAAATAAATTGATGGCACAGACCTTGCAATTGATTATCATTTAAATATTGTCTGACTTTACTAAACGCTTGTTTGACATCACTATCTTTGGTCACATCCATCTGAATGACCAATAGTCTCGGTTGTCGGTTATCCTCATCATCAGCACCGCTGCCGCCGCCGCCACCGCCAACATCGGTGGCCAACAATTCTGACAACTCTTTGGCACCATTGCTGCTCAAATCCAGAACAGTGGCCACCACTAGACAACCTTTACGATAGAAATGTTTGGCCACTCGGAGGCCAATACCCGTATCGCAGCCGGTAATCACTAAGCACTTATCGTCTGGTGATAGCCATTGATTACAATTGAGGAATACATTGGATAACTGATAGATATAGGAACCGATGCCGACTAGTATGACAAAGATGCCCAACAATATGGTTATCCAATCCATTTGGTCCACCAGAAAAAACAACAGACAAATCACACAAAAAAAACTTTTTTTTTTGTGGACACAAAACACAAGAGAGTAATAAAAAAAAAAAGTTTTCTTCTACTTCTTCTTCTTGAGTGATGAAACCAAACAAATCTGATGACAACTGTATGTATAGTCAGTGATAGGTCTGTATGAGCTGTTGTTATGGTGTCTATAAAGTCTCAGTTTAAAGACTGGATTACTTGTCTTCAACAACAACAAAAAACTTGTCTTAAAATAGTATTAATAAAAAACCACTTCTTATTTTGCAAACATTTTTTTAAACAAAAAATATTTGTTTGAAAACTTGTTTTTTAAAAAATAATTTTTATTTCAAATATTTAATACATAATCAAAAATTGTATACAATTTTTTTGATTATGTATTGTATGTATAAAACGCATGCGTTTTATAGACATTGAAACACATGTTATATACTTATGATGTGATTGTTTTGTGGATCCGATTCAAGTGATAGTGTGTGCTATGTCTTCGACAACAACTGCTGATGAAGTGTTCAGTTTGGCCATCGAGACATCGATGATGGCCTGGAAATCGTTTCAACTATCTATTGAACACGGAATGGGCGGTCAATATCAACGGGAAAAGTTAGTTTGGATGAAACAGACCATCGAAGATGTTTTCCGACAGAATTCTGGTGGTAATGGAGGACTACATGCAGATGAACTGGAAGAATATGTCGGCGAAATTCTGGACAACGAGTTCAATACGGTCATAGAGGACGGATCGCTGGGTATATTTGCCTCAAATGTTTGCCAATTTTATCGTATGTGTGCCGACGGCCAACATCGGCAAGTGATGGACAGTGTCGACGATATGCGACGTAAGGCCAACAGCGGTGTTGTTGTCGGTAACACTTGTCCGCAGGCTATCAGTGAAGATATGATGGTCGGCGTCGTCGAGAACGGTCTCAACTCGTTAGACATTGAGGACAATGACGAGGACGACGACGAAGAAGTAGTTGAAAGTGATTCACGTGTTGTCGTCGTCGCTGAAGATATGAAGACTACCGAAGAAGCAAAAGAAGAAGAAGAAGAAGATGACGGCTGGACTCGTGTTCAACGAAAAGGACATAACAAACGATGATTTGATTTTGATTTTTGTTTTACTGTTTTTTTAGTTAATTAATAGTTTTTTTTAGTTAATTAATAGTTTTTTTTAATTATTGACAATTAATTTATAAAAATAAATATTATATTATTAACTAATCGCTAAAAAATTAGTTAATTTTTACGGTAATTATTATAAATTTATTTTTATCAGTCAATTATATTCATATTTATATTCATTGAATCCATTGATCGCCAATAATCTAAATATTGTTTAAAAGTTTATTAATAATAATATTTTATTAAATAAAATACTGTAATATTTTTCTAAAAAAAATATGTTAATTAAATATTAATATTTTTTTTTAATTAAAAAATTACAACTAAAAAATTTATTGTAAATTATTTATAACTTATAAATTAAAATAATATATTAATAATAGATTAAAAGTTTTTAATTTATTATATATAACAAAATAAATTAATAAGTTTTAAGACAAAATTAATATATAATAGTTAAGTTAATATATATATAATAGTTATTAAATTTACAATTAATTAAATAGTTATTTTTAAAATAAAAAAAATTATATAATAAATAATTTTTGAAAAAATAATAAATAATTTTTATACGTAACGTCTTATATGAATGGTTTGTAATGTTGTTTATATTGTTGTTGTTGTTGTTGTGAGCAATCATATGACGCGTCACTCAATAATTGTATTGATAGTCAAATGTAATACATATTACAGTATATATTAGTAATCAATTGAATGGCATTTAAAATAAAAATTATTTTTAAATATTAAATAATTAATAGATTTTTTTGTATTTGAAAAACAAATACAAAAAAAATGTTTTTATCAATCAATCAGACAAACAAACTGTTTGTTTGTTTATATTGTATTTATTGTGTTTTGTTTTTACAATTTAGTTAAATATTAATCAATTGATTCATAAGTGAAAGACAACTAAACAAACAATCGATACGACAGAAGACCGAAGACATATCAGTCCTATATATTCCTCCTCAGCGACGGACAGACAGAGATGTTTTGTTTACAATTTAGTTAATAATAATAAACAAAACAAAAATCAATTCATAAGTGAAAAGACAACTAAACTATCAATCGATAGGGAAGACAGAAGACATATCAGTCCTATTCCTCATCAGCGACGGACACACAGACAGACATAATGTCGGCAATGAAGAAGTGTTTAAGTCATTCATATCTCTATCAGAAACAATACAACAACACCGCCGCCACCGCCTCCTCGGCAGCCGATGAAGAGATAATCAGTTTGAATGTCGGCGGCAAACGATTCAGTACATCCCGCCAGACGTTGACATCAATCGGCGATACATTTTTCACGGCATTACTATCCGGTCGGATATCATCGCTACGGGACTCGTCGGGTGCCATATTTGTCGACAGAGATCCGAAATTGTTTGCCATAATTCTGCACTATTTGCGTACCCGTCAGCTGTACGACATCGGCGACGGCAGTAATCTGGATATGCTATTACATGAATCCGAGTTTTACGGTATAACACCATTGGTACGGCGGCTACAATTGTGTGACCAACTCTACCGTAAGCCAACCTGTGGCGGTGATCTACTGTTTCAGTCGCATATCAAACGCCGTACGGGTGATGGCGATTGCGGCGGCGCTACCGCTGCTGCTGCTGGTGGTGGTAGTGGTGAACCTGTACGACAAGTGGTCGCCCATCACAATGCCATAGCCGTAGCCCATAGTCGTGTGGTTACCTGTTATCGACTGAAAGATACAATGGGCTGGCAATTGGTTTTTGAATCGGAACCGATTGACAGTACTATCGCTGAGATTGCTTTCTACTATAATTGCGGTGTTGCCGGACTAACCGGACCGAAGCTAATGTTGGCCATCAAAGATCAACGATCTATAATCAGATTGTGGTCTATCAATGTATCTCATTATAATAATAATAATAATAACAATAATAATAGTAATAGTAATGATAGCACCGGTAGTTCAAATACTTGTAGCAACAATACATCACAAAAGCAAGAGATCGGACGCTTTCATCTCAATAATTGTCACATAAACTCCATGTTCTTCATCGGCTCTCAATTGGGTAAAAGACTTTTTGTTTGTTTGTTTGTTGTGTAGAATATATGACTAAAATCTGTTTAAAATTGATTATTTTTTAGTGGCTTTGGGTAATGAAAGAGGAAGAGTCGGTGTCTGGCATTCGTCATCTCAGCACTGGTTAGTACAAGACCTGAAACAAGGAACCACTGATGCGTCGGCAATAACCGCCTACGATAAGGCCGGTTGTAATTTTCTACTATTGGGTTCGGGTTTGGGATCTATCTATTTGATTGATATGCAAAAGTTTCCGTTGCGTATGAAAGACGGCGATCTACTAATCAATGAACTATACGAAGATCCCGAAGGCGAAGAAATAACTGCCATATCTTGTTATTTGACGCGAACGCCGAAAACCAATGGCAATTGGGTTGAGATTGCCTACGGAACTAAAGGTATTGTTTTTTTTTTAAATAATTGTTTTACCGATTATAATGATTTCTATTACCCCCACCCCTACTACCCCCACTACTTGAATAGGTGGTACCGTACGTGTGTTAGTCCAACATCCGGAAACTGTTGGTCACGGACCGCAACTGTTCCAGACGTTTAAAGTACACCTAACGGGTATCGAACGGATAATGTTGAGCGAAAAATATCTGATCAGTGTATGCAACGCAATGCACGTACGCACGTGGACACTGACCAGATTTCGGGGACGTATATCTACACAACCGGGTTCAACACCGCACGCGTCGTTTCGTATTATTCGGTTCGATGAGGATGTCATCGACGACGACACCGATGAAGACAGAGGGCAGTCAATGGCGGTATCGATTAGTGCCGGTAGTAGTAGTGATACCAATCGAAGCTCCTGTTGTTTGACAACAACAACAACTGCCGTTACCTGCGATGTCGGTCCGTTCGGCGATCAGGACGACGGCGACAAACAGGTATTCATCGAACGGTTCCGAACGCAGACTGATTCGGCTAACGTTCTGATGGCTTCAAATGGCCACAAGATCTGTACACTGCGTTCGGTAGACGACTCACTCATTACAGCCTACTGTGTCCACGAATGCGAAGCCGTAGCAATGGGTAACCGATCGCGACGTTATATACTAACCGGTCATTCCAATGGTGACCTACAAGTGTGGGATCTGACCACTGCTCTTGATTTGGCCGCCAAATCGGGTCCACCCGACGGCATCACAAAACAATTGTTGTTAAACGAGTTGTTAAAGTAATAGTTAGTTAGTAGTTATATATACAGTACATATAAATCATTTTATTATAGTTTTTAAATAAAATAAGTTATATATTAATAGATTTTTATATATATTAAGCTATATTTGTATATAAATAATATGTTAGCAGTTTTTATTTAAAATTGTTTTTTAATTTAATGCATAAATCATTTATTTTTTGATTTAAAAAAATTAATAATAATAATAATAATTGTACTTATTATTGATCTGATGATAGAAATTAATATTATTTTATAATTAAATTGTTTTAAAAAAAATTTATAGAAACTTATCTATTTATTTATTTATTTATTACATAATAATAATAATAATAATACTACTACTATTTTATAATCTATAATTTACTGTATAATGTTTAGAGTAGTAGTATTTTATTTTATTACAACAACAAAAAAACCATTGAAAACAATTCAATTATAATGAATTAAATTATTATAATTTATTTTTATTTAATTTAAAAAATTATTATTATTATTATTATTATGGCTCTACAACACAAAAACGTGAACCAGTATTACCAAAACAATAGCCTTCACAACACATTTCTTCGCCCTCGCATTCAATTTGTTTACCATTATTAGGACATCCGGCTAATTAAAAATTTTTAATAAATTAATTTTTAAAAAATAAAATTTTAAAAATTCAGATAATAAAACTAAAAAAAATTGCAATTTTTTTATATAAATATTGTAATAGTGTATATATGGTATATAATTTTTTTTAATCTGTATATATTATATTAGAATTATATACATAAATTTAAATTAAATCAAATTTACAATTTCAAGTTAAAAAAAAGTTTTAGTAATATTAATATTAATAATAATAATTACTATTAAAAATAATAATTATTTTTTTTAATACTAATTAATAATTAGTATTAAAAGTAATTATTATTATTATATGTTACTATATATATATTCAAAATTTATATTTAACAATAATTATATATATATATATATATATATATATATATATATATATAATAATTAATTACCTGAGTCTGATATAGTGGCAAACATTATAATTAAAGCAAGTGTCAATAAAATAAATCGTAACATGGTCATTTTCAAACAACAATAATAATAATTATATTTAATTATAATATTTTATCGAAGTTGAATTGTATGGATATTTTTTTAATTAAAATAAATTTCTGATATACAATATAAGCTCCTTATATATATATATATATATATATATATATATATATATACCTAAGCTAATCATTAACTTATTTTTTTACTACAATAAACTTAATTTAAAAAAATGATTAGTAATATAAAAAATATTTTCGAAAAAAATGATCAAGCATAAAACAAGCCAAGCAATGATATTAAATAATTTTTTTATTGATGTCAACATTATAATGCTAAAATAAAATTAAATAAATAAACATGTTTACTTATTGAAATAAGTCATAAATCACAATAATAATAATAATAATAAATATCTAGTATTTTGTTATTTTTTAAAAAATATATAAAATTTTAATATACTATTAAATATAATACCCAAAATCTAAATTAGCATGCTAATATTATATAAAAAAAATTTTTGTTATTAATAAATTATTAAAAATATGAAAATAATTTAGAAATTATAGCTATAATAAATCTAAAACACAATTTTACTATAATTAAATAATTAATTTATAAAAAAAAATAAAATATTTAAATTATTAAATATGCATGTTTATTTATAAAAATTAGTTTAGTTTTATTAAAATATGTTTAGGTTATCTAAATAAATAAATAATAATTTATTGTTTTATTGATCTAGCAAGTTTTTGATTATATCTATTAATAAAATAGTTATTACATAAATACATTATATAAATGTTTTATACTATTACTAAAATTAACACTTAATCTTATATAAAAGTATTTTTTAATTATTATTAAATTATTTAAAATTGAAAATAATTTAGAAATTATATCTATAATAAATTTCATTTATAAAAATTTTATTACTAATATTTAAAAAAAAATTAAAAGAAAATAATTATATGCATTATATCAGCATTTATTAACATTTAAAAACATTTATCTAATGATCTAGCAAAAAAATAGTTAAATAGTAAATAGATTTTTAAAGAAAATTAAATAAATCATATTTATTATTTATATAAAAAAATATTATTTTTTAATAAATATTATTAGTATTAATTATTAGTTTTAAAAAATTTAATCTAGCAATCTGTTTGAATTATGATTTTTAAAAAAATAAAAATAACTATTTTATTAATTATTTAACTTGTTATTATTAATATAGCAATGTTTTTTTTAAGATAAAATATAAACTCCTTATATACTAAAGCTAATTATTAGATTATTTTTTCACTGAAATAAACTTAACTACAAAATTTAAAAAAAATGATTAGTAATATAAAAAATATTTTTTGTAAAAAAATGATCAAGCATAAAACAAGCTTATTAATGATCTCAAAATTTTTTTTTGTCAATAACATAAAATAACATAAATCAACATGATTAATTATTGCATGGTTAAAAATAAGTTAAATAAGTTTATACTAATAAATTATTTTTATTATGAATAAAATATGGGTATATATATAAGGAGCCTGTATCTTTTTTCAATTTAGTTATATCTTTGGGAAAAACAAAATAATATTAATTAAAAAATTTATTATTATTTCTAAAAAACAATTTTTAGAAATATCTACTACTAACTATATTAATACTATACAACTAAACTAACCATGGTGATGCTTAAAAAATACATTTTATTGGTGGCTATGATTTTCATGATTGTCTCAACCACTATGTCAGGTATTATTTATCAAATCTATTTTTATTATTTATTTTTTTTAAATAATGTAATTTATTTCAAAAAAATATTTAAAATTATTTTTTTTTAAAAATTGTTATTTATTTATTATTATTATTATTTAGTGGCCAAAAACTGTGGTACAAAGCAAATACCATGTAGAGGAAAATGTTGCCACATTACTGATGTACCTTGTTGCATTGGTTAAATTGTCTAAAAAATTTATGATTATACTGAAAAAAATAAAATAAAATGTTTAGCTATTATAAAACATTTTTTTTTTGTTAAAATTAATTATTAATAAATTTGAAAATAATTTTTGTAATAATGTTTTTTATTAATATTATTAGTATTTTGTTGTTGTTGTTGTATACATTAAACTAATAAATTAATTTGAAAAATAATAAAATATTTAAATTATTAAATATGCATGTTTATTTATTAAATTATTAGTTTAGTTTTATTAAAATATGTTTAGGTTATCTAAATAAATAAATAATAATTTATTGTTTTATTAATCTAGCAAGTTTTTGATTATATCTATTAATAAAATAGTTATTACATAAACACATTATACAAAGCAAATGTTTTATACTGTTAATAAAATTAACACTTAATCTTATATAAAAATTAAAAAAAAAATAATTAAATTATTTAAAATTGAGAATAATTTAGAAATTATATCTATAATAAATATCATTTATAAAAATTTTATTAATATTTTTTATTACTAATATTTAAAAAAAATAAAAGTAAATAATTATATGCATTATATCAGCATTTATTAACATTTAAAAACATTTATCTAATGATCTAGCAAAAAAATAGTTAAATAGTAAATAGATTTTTAAAGAAAATTAAATAAATCATATTTATTATTTATATAAAAAAATATTATTTTTTAATAAATATTATTAGTATTAATTATTAGTTTTAAAAAATTTAATCTAGCAATCTGTTTGAATTATAATTTTTTAAAAAATAATAATAACTATTTTATTAATTATTTAACTTGTTATTATTAATATAGCAATGTTATCATTATAATATTAGTATTATTATAATTAAAACATTAAATAAAAGATATAAAAAATAACATAATAAATAGTAAAAATAATAAAAATAAGCATGTTCATTTTGTTGATTTTATATCGGTTAAAAAAATATTTTCAAAGTAATTAAAGTTAATTAAATTAAGTTAAATGTTATGGGTTTATATATATATATATTAATTAAATTTAAATTTGTATATTTTAAAAATTATTATTATAATTATTTAGTTGCTGTTAACTATGATAATAATAAATTATTATGTCACGATAAATGTTGCCTATTGAATAAAACTTATCAATGTTGTATTAGTTAGCTGGATAATTTTTGTTAAAAAAAACAATTAAATATATAATTTATTTATTATTATTAATATATGAATAAGATTTTTGAAAAAATAGTTAATATATATAAACTGTTTTATTTCTATTATTTTATTTTAGTAATTATAAATCACAATAATTTTAATAAATTTTGTTTATAGTATTATTATTATTATTATTAATGTTGTTGAACTAATGAATTACTACTAATTTTGCTATAAATATAATAAAATTATAATAAAAAATATTTAAATTATTAATTATGTTTATTTATATAATTAGTTTAGTATTATTAAAAATATGTTTAGGTTATGGAGATAAATAAATAATTATTTATTGTTTTATTGATCTAGCAAGTTTTTTTTATAAATATCATTTAATCATATAGTTATTAGAAAAATACATTTTATTTTATAATAATTACATATTGTTATAACTAAAACAATGTACTCAATGTTTTATATTTAATATATATATAAATATACAGGTATATAATTACCTGAGATTGATATAGTTAACAAACATTATAATAAAAACAAATTTCAATAAAATAAATTGTATCATGGTCAATTTAAAAAGAAATTATTTATTTTTAAAAAAAAAAACATATTGTAATTGTTGTTTATATTGTATTAATATTTGAATTAAAATTAATTTTTTAAGATAAAATATAAATTCCTTATATACTAAAGCTAATTATTAGATTATTTTTTCACTGAAATAAACTTAACTACAAAATTTAAAAAAAAAATGATTAGTAATATAAAAAATATTTTTTGTAAAAAATGATCAAGCATAAAACAAGCTTATTAATGATCTCAAATTTTTTTTTTTGTCAAT